AAAATTTACTGGAATCAATTTAGCAGAGCGTCAATGGTCCACTCGTTTATGAAATTCATTTTCATAATCCTGATGGAAATCCCTCATTTAGTGCGGATACGAAATCAGTTTCAGCTTGATTGATGGCCTGATTGCGTCACAACCCAGTGTTCAATTATCCGTTCGCTTAATGAGGAATTATGAGCTGCTTATGCAATTTTAACTCTCCCAAAATATTTGAAATGCGATTTATTAAAATTTTCTGTGTTTCTTATTATAAAGCTATGTTCATTTTTAAAATTGCTTTTAGAATTTGAACTCTCATTTCCAGTATAAATACACTACGCTTCTTCGAAAACTAGAACGCAGCAAGGATTTAATTCAATCCACTCTCCCAAAGATAATTCTTACGTTATTACAGCGTAATTTAGTTTCTAATACGACAGCAAGATGGATTGCTATCGTGTGTACTTTCTTCTCTTGTTATTACATTTAGTTCCATTTGTCTGGGGTTTGTTTATGTCTACGTTTTCTTAGGAAATTGTATTACCTCGTACATTACGTGAAGATTGTTTTACATGAACTATTCATAGGGTTAAGACATGATCTTTGAAGGCTACTCGTGTCAGAAGATTATTGCCCTTTATACTCCCTCTATGAATATTTTAAAACTATCCTTAGGTTAATGCTCTTTACTGAATCGTGCCCTCGGCGTGCTCTAATCCCGCTCGGAGTGGCTTGACGACCGTTAGAGAGTTTAAATGTGGTGTATAAAAGTATTTTAAAAACAATTTTCAAAACATGTGAAAATATTTGAAAACACCTTTTTATCGCAGATTACAAGTATTTTTCTGAACCAACCTGCGATGGTTGCTCGAAGGCTGTTTGAAGAAGTATCTAATAAGTTGCCATTATACCTCTAAAGTAATGTCGTCGTTGAAATACCTGCCTACCTGCGTGTTTAGCGCCCTTGCTAGCTTCCTGGCACGTGAGCACTAAGCACTCCACCTGCAGTGCGGCTTTAGGCTCTGACAAAACCAAACAACTGCAGTTTCAAGTGTACACATCTCTTTATTCAGTTCCATCTTACTTGTGAAGTGATAATAATCATTATTGTGTGTCGCGTAAAGTTGTATTTGTGTCCCTTTGGATTTAGTGGTGTCGTCAGCGCCAGGTTTGACCTTGAACCCGTCAGTCACGCTGTCAATCCAGCCCTAATGGAAGGTCGATTGTTTAATGCGATTGCCTTATTTTGGGTAAACGAGCATTAGAACTTGGCAGGAATTGTTTATTGTGTTACGTTTAATAAATTCTTTTTGTTAAGCTTTTATGTGAGCTAAATTATTCAGCTGTAGAGTTTTATTAAACTTTTTCTAGTAGAGTTTGAACTATGTGTCTTTTATGAATTATTCCCGTGATATTCGGGACATTATGACAGTACTCCATATGAATACGAAATATAATCCGTGGAAAAGGAAAGGAAACCACATGTGGATATTGTGTTCGGAAATCACTACAATGGTGGCAGTTTATGACCGAAGCGAATGTATCCGCGACCGGATGTATGAGACGGTCCAATATATTATTGACTCCAATTGTATTTACGTCTTGTGGATATTTGTCTCTTCCATAGATATACTAAATGTTTCGATGGTCACTTCAAAAACCTTAAAGTGGGTTATTACAGTTTTAGAGATTTACTACGTCGATTTTATATAATGTATCAAGTTTCTATATCACCTTATAATGTGTCAGACTATCCTTGTTTCCATCTTGATAGGTAACTACACTCTGTATATGCGAATGTGTTAGGTTGTTACGTATACCCCTCTATCTCTATATTGAAATGGTCCGTAGATGCTCCTGTCAAGCTCTGAAGCTTCGCTTGGAGATTGAAATATTGCAGTTTGTTCAGATTTCACTTGCAACCGTCAGCTTCGTATGCCCTGACAATTTATCACGAGCTGCTCTGATCTGTGAGCCAATATGTTAATACTGTTCCAGTGTACGTGGTCCGGTTACGAATGTACTCTTACATCCGTTTTTGGATCAACAACATTTACTGCATTTGTACCACTTGTCCAATTAATTTCTGAGTAATGCGTGGGTGTTATCGTTTGTATAGTGTCTATTGATGAAACGTTTTTGTTCTTATGTGTGATTGGACTTGTTGTTTTTGGCAGCTATTGAACAGACCTTTCTACTGAACTACACATTAAGAAAATAATTGCCATTATTTGTTTAGGGAATTAGTTCTGAGTAAAAATATGTGTAGATAAATACTTTATTCTCGAAATAAGAAATGCTGCCTTATACCCAGGCATATTGTATGATGAATATCTAAAATTGATTGAACGAAGCCGCTTGGTACAGTTTGTGATGAATAAAAAAGTCTAATTCCATATCTACATATTCTATATTTTTTTCAACGAAGCCAAAATGAAAAGAGATGTAACAAACATTTCCCACCAAATTGAATTTCGATACCGCACCACCGTAGGGCTGGCAGGCCACCGAAAATTAGATGCCCAAAATATAGCTATATTTTCTTGGGAATCTTATAAAAATATACCTAACAGTTTAATTTTGTTTGGTCTCTGATGTAGCGTTTTCAAATAATTGTTCATTGCAGCATCTACTTTTAGCAGCGGCTTCTCCTCTTTATTTGTATTATCTCATCCGGTCTCCATTTCAACACTTGCTAACCGCAGAGGGGTCATCTGGCAGCCCTGCTAACACAATTTGATTACGAATGTCTTGGTGTGTTTGTGTTAGGGTTTTATTTTTGGGAGCGGCGCAAACAACCCTCGCCACAAGGTGATTGGCTGCCTACTCCTCATGTGAATTTGTTTACCTAAAATTAACATTCATTTTTACAACTTTCTTGATATTGATTCGGTATTCTTTGCAGGATTATGTGGGTATGGTAATTTTGTGAGTTTGCCGAAGAGGGTTAATCAACGAAACGAACTGAAATATTTATGCCGTATTTTTACTGAAGCAAATATTTACTGACGAAGTAAATATTTTGCTTACAGTAGGTACAATCTTCAATATACATACGGATAGAGTAATGATTAATCTGCTCTCCTGACCTTTGAATCGGCTTTCCTCTCCCCGTTTAAAAATTAATCAGCTTACAGTTAATACGTGTGCCGTACAAACGTCGAGTGAGTGTTTAATCATGCGCCGTTGCCCGGATTATCCCTGCTGTGTAGAATCGTAGATAAATTACTGGTACACTTAACTACACAAGGGAAGGTGTTAGCTTAGTTGCGTTATGTAATGACTTGTGTTTTTTTTTTTAAGGGAGGAAAATCATCGAATGACTGCTCCCGCCTGGGTGAGGCGGGAGGGAGTGTCAGACTCTTACTGACTAAAAACCACCCCGTTCCTTCTCCTGCACGTCGAGCCGGAGCCCCGGTTACTTAAGACTAATTTAGTATATGCGAAATCATTTTTGTTTGAAATAATAGTAAATTCGAATGCAAATGATTAACATAACGAAATAAATTACTAAAGACTAGTTTTACAGGTTCATACAAATTCTTTCAAGAAGATACTTTAGGTTTTCCGTGAAAAGTTTAAATCGAGAACCTGTCAAAATAAACCTGTGAAGCTCATCTAAAATAGGTACATCTGGTGTCTGTCAACCCTACTCACTCACCGGGTAACTTCGTTCAATGAATGAAATTTAATTCAAATTGAACTTGAATTTGCAAATATCAGCCCAGGCCCAAACCTTAACCAGTTTGTGATGATATTAGCACAAACGTGTTCCAAATAAGTTTCCAACCTGGATTGGTTTAATGAAACAATAAGTTCATTCATAACTTGAGGTTGTTTTCACAAGTATTTGAATATTTATTACACCTACAACAAAATTTTCATTGGAGAGAACTGGGGCAGCCTTTGTGATTTTAATGTCGTATCTAGCACAGAGTAATGTTATTCTAACAGATCTGAATATAGGGGAACATAAAGAAGTAAAGTTCAATGAATTCTGCTTGTTCGTTTATTTCATAGAGTATTTATTTAATCCTACCATCTGTTGCAGACCGCATTCATGCAAACATGAAGTAGTGTAGTAGACAAAGTTGGCATAATCCGCTGCTGTAAGGTACGAGATTTTTCTGTGGAGTCTGTATTATGTAGGTATATTTCAGCCAGGCGGATTAGGTCTCTTTGTACAACAGACCTTTGTGTTCAACCCATCTACGTACTTTAAGCGGATTAGCTATTGTGATGCATATACTAGTGGTTGTGTAAATACTACACCGACGCAGAGTACAGTGATAAGCGCAGATTGAACCCAAGGCTTAAGTTAAGCTAAATGTGCACTACACAAGTTGCTAACGGCCAAAGACTCGATAACTACCTCATCTAGCTGGTTTATGTGGACTTTTGTTACTAACGATAACACGACGGTCCACAAACTTGCCCTTTATAGGCGATCATAATGGCTATAAACGTGGATGTGGAGTAGTTTTCAATAGACATTTTCATAGTACTCTTATGTAATCTGTAGGAAGTGAAAAGGTGTTTTCAAACTCAATTAGAGAGTGTATTTGATACGATAATGCTGTCTATACTATACAGATCATAGTTTATTTCCAGTAGCTAGAGTGTCCATTTACATTTTTCCGATTTGTAGCTTTTCCTCCTAGTTGTCACTACACTAAAACAGCTTCCTCGTAAACAGTTCGGAATCGCGATGCCAACTTTGTCTAACGCAAATGTTAAACTTTTAACTAGTTTTATATTGCCCTCTGAGTCGCTATTAGAATTAAATTGCCAAAGGTTTTGAATTTACAGTTCTTGTTGTTTAATGTTACTGTTTGGGGAAAACTATTAAACAAATTGCGTTGGGAAAGTTCGTGAAATTTTTGTTTGACTTTTGGAATTGTGCTATCCAAATTAATTTACTTTCCGAATTAAATCAGTTAAGGATAACTTCTGAAGCCTTTCAAAAGTAGGGTTTCTATGTGATACTTTAATAAACATTTTCTTTTTGTCAACAGGACATCGACAATCTAATGACAGAAGGCAACAAATCGCGAACAGTAGCAGCGACTAATATGAACAGCGAATCATCACGATCTCACGCAGTGTTTAGCGTCGTTCTAACTCAGACTTTGACTGACGCTGCGACTGGTGTGTCTGGTGAGAAAGTCGCACGTCTGTCGCTGGTCGACCTGGCTGGTTCGGAGCGAGCCGTCAAGACTGGCGCTGTGGGCGACAGGCTGAAAGAAGGCTCCAATATTAACAAGTAAGTTAGCGGTCGACAACCCCTCGGCAGACGTCAGGCGTCTGTCATAAGAAGATTGACTAGCCGAGTGATGGATCTTATTCTCTCTTAGATACCTCTACATTATTCAAGATAGCTCTTTGTGAGAAGGCTTCTGGTAGCACTGGTACACAGATATAAAATAGCGCGTTACTTTTAAAGACTCAAACTTTGTAATCATCGAGCTTTTTAAAACAAAACTGAGTTCTTAAGTTTTAGTTAAAGAGTTTGAATTGACACATTAATTGATTGTTTCAGATCTCTAACAACCCTTGGTCTAGTAATATCGAAACTAGCTGACCAATCGTCTGGTACAAAGAACAAAGATAAATTCGTGCCGTACAGAGACTCCGTGCTCACGTGGCTGCTCAAAGACAACCTTGGAGGGAACAGTAAGACTGTTATGGTGAGTAACTACAATCAATAAAAGCTCAAAATATTATTGTATCAGTGAATGAACAACCAACATTCTAAAAACATGTTTTAGGTTTTTGACCTTTTTCGGATTAAAGTTTCAGTTTCTGAATAATCCTTAAAACCTTTGGGAAATATGGAGAGGTTATGCATATTTTATGCATACGCTCGAACAACGAGATTTTCTTAAAAAATCTTAGGTACATAATGTGTCACGGCTGACTCTAAACTTGTTTAATGTTAATGCGCGACTACTGAATTTTTAAAAAACTATGGTTACTTTTGAAATAAGCCGGAAAATATATCTATTAATCTTTGCATAGGTACGTTCGAGTTACTGAAACTGCACGTCTTAAACTTTAAAATTCAGATCTTGATTAGTCTACATCTAACCAAATTATTATTATTATACACCTAGTTGATCAATCAGTAATTTTAATAAACTTACTATGTACCTGTTTGCATTGTACATTTTTAAAACAGTAGGTTTATAAACTGCAGTAGACGCTTATTTACCGTAATAGATAATTTTGTGTAATACATAAAATTAATTGCACTGGTAGGCTGACAATATAAGTGACGTGCACCTACAATACAAGGGATGACACGTTGATATAAAGGGCAATAGCAAAAAAACTATTTTTACGTCGTAAAAGACATTCGTAGGCGGTTTTCGAGAAAGATCGTAAAATCATAATAGTTCTTTGTCATGTCGTATCCAATGTTTCGTTAGGTATTTTCTTTGTATTATAAATTTTGGACAGCGATAATTTTCGACAGAATTTCATATTGTGTTCGTTGTATTTGGGTAGGAGATGTCTTTATATATTTAAAACCTCAAGGGATAATGGGTATGATGAGTTGACAGAGTGAAAATTAAACATTTAATTAGCCGGTCAGTTAGGTAAGGAAAAAATATTAGACGCGTCTTCTTTATTTTGTCATATAAGAAAACAATACTTAGATAAAATGAATCAAAGTTACTATTAAGTGGGAGCTAGCTGCGTCATTTCTGGGTATGAAACGTACACAAAAGTTACAACACGCGATATTTCTAATCAAAATATCAAAGATAAAAAATACGTGTCTAATGTTTTTAAATCATCTACCAGACGGACATTAAAATAAAAAATAGTCATCCACTCTATTTACCTTTAGCATCAGCAATATTGTAAACCATGTTTAAGGTAATAGAAAACTAGTCTGATCGCCGTACTCAAAATTATTTAACCTCACAATAGAAAACATCTACGCGAGAGATCTGCGTTCAGACACTTCACAGATTAATCTAACCTTAACCCAGTCCTTAGCAAATGTTTTCGGAACAAAATCACTGTTAAGGAATATTTTAAGTAATCATTAAATGTTTCTGAATACGGCAGTGCCTATGACAGTGTATTTCTATCATTATGTAATCCACATCAACATCTAACAAAAGTCGACTTAATCAATTTGCAAGCACTTTAGCGCCTCTTAAAGCGGAAAGATAATGCAAATAAGGTCTTTCTAGACTTGAAATAAATTCGAATTCTGTCCACGGATCGTCGCATCCTTTGAGTCACCGCACCCAACTCGAAACACTCATGCTTCGTCGTCGCGCATAGAAATGGTCTACGAATCAATATAAAACAGTACTTAGTGCCTACTAACATTAAAACGAGTACCTTTTTGTTTACTTTCTTTTGTAAACAAGGTTCATTTTAGTCTGGCTGGCTATTATGGAAATATTGTAATTACAAGGAAGTCCCTTTGTTTGTTTCTGCAATTGTTTTATCCAGAACTGCAATGGGGAAAGCTCTGTCCATCAGCGTAATTAGCAGATTTATTCAAAGCAATCCTTTCAAAGATTTTTATTTTATATTTTTTTGTTTCAATGCGAGTTTATCCTGTATAATTCTTTGTTATGGATTTACTCTTTAGTTATTAAATTATGAAATAGAATTCAGTGATGCATTTCAGTTTTCATTCAGCGCTTTTAAAAGCTGTTGAATAAGTAATAGAATTGTGCTATTTTTTATATCAGAATAGGTTCGTTTATTCTGTATTTAATTTAAATAATTAATGATATATTGATTTGCATTCACAGGTCGCTACAATATCACCAGCTGCGGATAACTACGAAGAAACACTATCAACGCTGCGATACGCCGACCGAGCGAAACGCATCGTCAACCACGCTGTAGTGAACGAGGACCCGAATGCGCGTATCATTCGGGAACTACGCCAGGAGGTGGAGACGCTCAAGGAGATGTTGAAGTATGCCACGGTAAGTGGCACGGTAAGTCGTACTCACACTCTGTTCGTGTGTGATTGTTCTTTACTTATCATAGAGATTTCAGTTCTTTATTTGTCTTATATTCTTCTCATGTTGTTCTCCTCATGAGGCGTCGCGTCGCTGTGTAGATCTATATTGATCATCTTCGACCGAGTCCTGTTTTCCCGACATCAGTGTTAAATGTTTATTCGTAATCCTTTGTCACTGGTTATGCAGCTTGAAAAAAAAAGGTTGAAAAACATTTTGGTTCAGGTTTTTTCGATTGAGAAAGTGAATTTGGATTACAGCCAGGTCTTATCGTTGCATTATTTATACAAAGAAAACAAAAAGGTCGGGCGGCCCAAGGCGGCTCATCGACCTTAAGACACACCATGTGTTGTACAAATGTGCATATCACATGCGAGTTAGCCGTACGTGTATCGTCAGGGATCGATATACCAAACTGTGTCATGGCTGAACTGTACAATGACTTGAAGTGGTTTAGTCATTCATCATGTATTGCTTCCTATATTTTTTTACCTTTCTACCTTGTATGGATGTTTCTCCTATACAGAACAATGGAACTGTATTGAATCGGGAGTCAATTTACCGATAGAAAAGCTAGACTGACAACTATTGTTGCCATTTTTTGTAGTGAAGTTTATTGTCATACACATCGTCATGCCTGTCTCCCAATGGGGTAGGTTGTGTAAGGTGTGTAAATAATATGGTTCCGACCTCTTTTGTTTCTTCTACATGAGTCCATCTCTTTAAGCATGGGAGAAGTTGATTGAGGTCACCCAGTGGGATGTATCTGTACCAAATAGGCGACATATTTAAAAAGGGTCAAATTAAGCACTATTAATAGGGTCTTAGATTTAGAGACATCATTTCTGATTTTTATTCTTTAGTTCTTTCACACTCTAAGGTAATAGTCTAAAGACCAAAGTCTATTTACAGTGCGGGGTACTCGCTCAGATTAAGGTTTGCAGAGGGCGGGCTCCACGCCGCGCTGCGGTAATTTACGATCTGTTTCCCTGAAGGATTAGTATTCTTGTTACGTGTCCTCGGGGCTTTGGGGGAAAATTAATTACACCACTATCTAGGTTTAACGTGTAGGTAATGGTTTTTCCAGAAGTAATTTGCAAATAGGTACTGCGATGCTGCTAAATGAACCTTATGTACAGGAATTTATATTCCCATAAGACTTTTTAACGACAATAAGAAGCAAATTAAACTTACTAGAGGTTTAAGTTAGCAGGCATGTGATTTATTGATATCGTCTTTCCAGGGTTCCCCTGTGGGTGAAGAAGTACACGAGAAACTGGCACAAAGCGAGCATCTGATGAAGGAAATGTCAAGGACGTGGGAAGAGAAACTGGTTGAAACTGGTATGTTATCCTCACTTTAACTTATAATGGTTTCAACAGAGACTAGCCAACTACACAAAAAGTTTTATTGTGTATAAATATGTACGAAAATCTAAACAGAGAAAGGTCAGTTGTAGAACTTACGGCTTTACATGACTTCTGAGGTCCAGAGGCGAAATACTCTAGAATTTCCTAACTTCAGTTTACCATCGATAATTTTAATAAGCATAAACCACTGGTTCGTTTGCTTAATACAATATCTTTATCAATGGTACCTATACAGAATAGATATGCAAAACTGTGTAAAGACTTGTAGTGCTTATAAATAAATAATGTTTTTAATATCGAAACTGCGGCAGCGTCCGGTGCACTAAACCGCATCCATTTGCGTCTCGGTTTATACAAACTACAGTCTTTAATCTTTTTTCCATTTTCTACCAGAGAGCAGAGTGTAGTTAGTATATAAATTGTGAAGTTTTATTTTGTATCTCAAATTGGTTGTTGCTAACAACTTGGGGTATTTCAATTTTCAAAATTATCATTCACTAGTGTACACAGCGTGAGATTACCGTATGTGGCTGCTGTATGCAAATAGGCTCGCATACATTGACATTTATCATGTAGTCCTCGACCTTTTGGGGCAAAGGAAAAGAAAACAAAAGACGTTATATTAATCTTATGTTATGTTATTTTACAGGTCGGATACAAAGTGAGCGTCAGCATGCGCTAGAAAAGATGGGCATCAGCGTGCAAGCGAGTGGCATCAAAGTCGAAAAGAACAAATATTACCTGGTCAACTTAAATGCGGACCCTTCGCTCAACGAACTCCTTGTATACTACCTTAAGGTCAGTACATAATCCATCTTTTATCTGTATTACAAATCGTCTCCAATCATTAATGAGATCAGGGACTAAGACAAAAGATTTGTTTTCGTGTGGTTTGGCTAAATCAATCACTGTCTATAAATATGGTAGTACCAGTTTGGTCCTGAAGTCCGATTGACAAAAAGCTTGGCTGGTGTATTGGGTGATTAGCCCTAATTTAGTTGTAGATGAAAGATGGTTAGCAATCTTCCCTTATGCGACCAAACTGCTGTCCTCAATCAAAAGGAAACATGAATATTCACTACTACAAATTTTTAGGAAGAGACCTTCGTTGAACCTTCTTTCAGGAGGCGAAAATTATGATAATAATTTTTTTCTAACTTCCAGGATCGCACACTGGTCGGAGGATCTAGTTCAGCAGACATTCAGCTCTCCGGTCTCGGTATCCAACCGGAGCATTGTCAACTTCTCGTCGAAGGCGGAGGCCTACACATGGAACCTCTCGGTGCTGCGCGGTGCTTCGTCAACGGCACTCCTGTAGTCTCCCGAGTCAGGCTCGGACATGCCGACAGAATATTGTGGGGAAATCATCATTTCTTCAGGGTCAACTGTCCTAAGGCTACCGGTATGTTTATTTTGGAGATATGGCTATAAAAGAAGATTATAAGTAATTTTGTGTTCATACGACTTATTCATAGAATCATATTACGGGGTGTACTCGACAAGTTTTGAGCTTAACTGGAGCCGTTACTAGAAAGTTGCATATGCCGTAACAAAACTCGTAATTTATGTCTTAAAAATCGGTGGATTTTATGTTTATAAAGCATAGTTTTTATTTTCGAAATTTCCTTTTTTATTCGCTGAAATAAAAACAGTTCTTTGTTACACTACTGCGCGCTTTATTATTATTATTTCCAAACAAAATTACAGAAGTATGGTTTCTTTTGCTATTATTCGCTTTTATTTGACGTTTTCTTTGTTCTACTGCGTTCCGTTGTAGAACAAGATTCTGGTTACTCCACAGCGACGGCCTCCGAACCCCAAACTCCTGCGCAACCTATCGACTACAACTTCGCTCGGGATGAGATTATGCTGAATGAACTTAGCAATGATCCGATTCAGACTGCGATATCTAGGCTTGAGAAACAACATGAAGAGGATAAACAAGGTAATACTCTAGACCATTTCTATCTATTCATTTTAATATTTTAGTAGTATAAAGTACCTAAATAATGTTTGTGTAATGGTTTTGAATAAATATTTTTGTTCATTTTAGTGGCGCTAGAAAAACAACGGCAGGAATATGAGCGACAGTTCCAACAGCTAAGAAATATACTATCGCCTTCAACACCATATCCTCCTTACGCGTATGATCCACTCAAACTAGGTGAGATAATAATTCAGTTTTATACTATGTAGACTTAATTTGACTGGCTTCTATCCGTCCATGTATAATTTGAAACCGTTATCGGGTGGAAATCAATAACATAACTTAGTTCAAAACTTCTATCTCGATCTGATTTTGACAGAATCTCTATAAACGAATGTCAAAAAATGATATTTTCACACATTATGTTATATAAAAGCTTGATTAGCGATACGATCGACTTACTTAATATATATCTAATGATCTTATATTCTTCAGGTAAAATGACAGCTTGCACGCCAACCACGGCGGCCCGCGTAGAGCGCTGGGCGGCGGAACGTGACGATACGTTCAAGCGGTCACTCGGACGACTCAAAGCTGACATATTGAGAGCCAACGCACTCGTACAGGAAGCCAACTTCTTGGCTGAGGAGATGAGGAGGAACACTCGCTTCAGCGTCACACTGCAGATACCCCCGCAGAATCTTAGTCCTAACAGAAAGGTAAAGTTTCAAATGCTTTTAAACAGAATATGAGAAGAAAACTAGAACATGAAGTTTATAATGATAATAATCAAACGTTGATGTTGGTAAAAAATTGCTTAACCATTATCAGCCTTTTATTTATTATAAATAGAATTATTAACAATGAACTGTGAATAGAGTTTACCTCTTCTCAAAATTGTATAATAATAGCTGCTATATCTGTCAGTACTGTTATGTCATCTAGCAGCTAGATGAGTTCGTATTCAGTTACTAACTAACAACTAGTAATTATTCCGTTGACAGAGATGAGGGGAGAACATAATTATCCTTCTTACTATGTTTATAACTAAATACTTGTCTTCTTCACAGCGCGGCGCGTTCGTATCAGAGCCAGCGATAATGGTGAAGCGTCCGGGTCGTAGTGGCCAGGTGTGGTCGATGGAGAAGTTGGACAACAAGTTGGTGGACATGCGCGACATGTACGACGAGTGGCGCCGCACGCAGCTGAGGGGGGACGCGGACATCGAAGAGGTACGACTGCCCAGCGGAGACGGAGTAAGTGGTTATGGGATTACTAACATCTTCAGGGAACTAAGTACACTCGCTAGTAATACTTTAGAACAGTCCTTTTTTATAGTAAATTGATGTTCTATAAGAACTCTGTTTACGTTTATGAAATATCACAGTCAAATGAGAAAAGTCATGACGTCGACGATTAAGAAACAAGTTTGTGGTGCTTAGAGTTAAAAAAGTAATTTATAATTATGAGTTCATTATTTATTGCTGGATTCAAAAGTAGCGAGTGTGTTTCGTTCCTTTACTAACTGTATCAAAGTAGTTGATTTAAGTAATTTACTTACTTACTTTTGATAAAATAGCTAGTCAAGAAGCTGGGGTAACATCAGGACATGACGGAAATATAATAAGTAAATAGTAAAAAAGTTTACTTTATTTTGGAGAAACATTAATTAACAACGTCACTATGAAGTAACACACTGCCTGGGCATGATAACTAAAACTTAATATAAGAAATGGCTTCAAAAAGTAATCGGAATGCATTGAATGAGCACCCAATTAACATGATACTAAAATAATTATAAAAGCTACTATAATACTAAAAATCATACAAAAATGAAACTAAGTAAAATAATAACAAACATAAAGTTTTGTTTTTTATACCCATCGCTTTTCTTCCAATAGGAACAAACAGAGACAGCATTAGACCCGTTCTATGAATCGCAAGAGAATCACAATTTGATCGGAGTTGCGAACGTGTTCTTGGAAGCTTTGTTCCACGATGTAACGCTGGACTACCACACGCCCATCATCAGCCAACAGGGAGAGGTCGCCGGGAGGTTACAGGTATGTGCATAAAATTAAAAGATAGATAAATATTGTACACCACTTTAAAATTACATGAAATGTACAAAATCGGTTGTTAAATGTTGTCTAACCGATATTGTGTCAAAACTATCAGGAGATATTTTAATGCAACATCCTAATTAGTTTATCATAACCGTCTATTCGATGAGTTTCCTCGACTAGTTTCGAGCTACTCTAAAGACCTATAATTAGGAGTATACCCTAGTATCAGTTAGTACCTAAATATGTTTAAATTATTTTAGGTGGAAATAAGTCGAGTGGCGGGCCAGTTTCCTCAAGACAGAATATGTGAAGCTGCTTCCGACAGTTCCGGGGATATGAGAGACGATGATGACCCGGCTGATACAGCGACGCAACAGGTAAATTATTTATTACGTTTCTTAGGTGAAGTGAACTGATTGAAAAATTATACTGTTACATTTCATGTCGTGTCGATAAACTTGATTGGACAATTTTTGGTCAATTTTTGTAGTATTGATGACTAAATAACAAAACTATATTGTTGCATCAATGTTTATAGCTATCTCAAAAACCTAACATTTGGTTAATAAAACGTATTAATTTAGAATAGGTGATATTCCTAACTATTTCGACCATGCCAATACACAAAACTTTATTAAAACTAGAACATTCTCTCCACAGGTCACAATCCGAGTATCAATAAAGCAGGCAACAGGTCTTCCACCATCGCTATCCCACTTCGTGTTCTGCCAGTACTCGCTGGGGGCGGGGGAGCCAGTGGTGGTTCCGCCAGTAGTGTCGGCGGACACGCCCCCCGCAGCCCCGCAAGCCCCGCCCCTTTCCCCCAGGCACCAATCACTCGTCACCTTCCGATTTGACCATAAAAAGGACTTCACCATTCCATTGACTGAAGAGTTCATTGAACATTGTGCTGGTGAGTGTATTCGTTATTAATTTTAAAGTCATTGACTGAGTGGAGGGTCATCGTATTTTTCTCGCCCGATAATGTTAATATAACGTTAGGTCTGTTCTCCGACTGCTGAAGCTTGACATTAAGTTTTCTATGGGTTGACACTATCTACTACTACACCACCTGGTGAGCAAAAATCGATGGTGCTCATCTGCTCATTCTCTAGCTAGAGTCAGCTTTATATCTTTGCATATGAAAGTCGATAAATAAGTACTAAAGCGTCCTGTAGTAAAATATAACCAAACGTCGAAATTATTCGTTTATGATGTGATGTCGAATGAATTTCTTCGTAGTTTTAAAAATTTCAGTCATAATACAAATTATCTTAAACCCTTCTTTGTCGACAACAGAGGGTGCCCTATCAATCGAAGTATGGGGCCACCGTTCGGCCGGGTTCAGTCGCGCGCGCGGCAACTGGGAGGTAGAGCAACAACAACTGGCCAAGGCGCGCTCACTGGCAGACCGGTGGACTGAACTCACGCGGAAGATTGAACTCTGGGTCGAGATACATGAGCTCAATGATAATGGAGAATACGCTCCTGTTGAGGTGAGTGTCGTTGTGGAGTTCAGGTGACATAGACGTAGTGGTATGAGTTTGTTTGTTGCATTAAAAAGTGTCTTGTAGCCGCTGTAACTCATGTAAACATGGATCAGTAAAAGCATTGGTTATCTTTACTCTTAGTGTGGATTTAGATAACTAACACGATACACCCGAATACTGAAAGGCTACTCAATTTTATGTTGTACTTTAATATCGTGCATCTCTGTCATTTTACAAAGAATTTGTTGTGACAGAATTGTACTTAAGAGCGAATTAAAATTGAGTGACGTTTCAGTATTGGGGCATCACAGTTCTCATTTTTTGCGTATTGTTGACTCTAAAAATCAAGAAAGGTTTTTATTTGGGTAATAAATTGCTCTAGATTAGTATAATGCAATCAATATCAAGTATCAGTCTAATGCCAGAATACTGAAACGTTACTCAATTTTAAGTCGTGCTCAAATATCGTGCCATCTCTGTCATTTTACAAAGAATTTGTAGAGATAGAACTATACTTAAGCACGACTTAAAAATGAGTAGCGTTTCAGTATTCCGACATAAGTTATGTGATTCTGAAGATGACTGGAGGACAAAATATGCTGTCATGGGAAGTGGTAATCTAAATGTATAAAAACAAAACCCGTTTCCCGTTATCACGCCATAAGTTGAGAATGGCTGGACCGATTTGGCTGATTTTTTTTGGTTGTGTTTGTTATTGTCAGAAGAAGGTTCTTATGATAGAAAGAAATCCTTAAAATTTAATGAGAACGGGAGAAAACGATATTGTGCGTACGAAGTCGCGGGCCGAAGCTAGTGTATAAATGAAGGTAAAAAGGTATATCAAGTTGTGTTGATATGCAGGTGGTCCAGCGTAACGACGTATGGACGGGCGGCGTGTACCAGGTCCGGCAGGGACAGCAGCGGCGGATCGCAGTACGAGTGCGGCCCGCGCATAATTCCGGGACACTGCCACTCGTGTGCCAGCAGATACTTAGCATCGAGGTCGGCTCCGTCAGCGTCAGGCATGTATACATTACACGTGTATACTCCACATGTCTATACAAAATCTAACGCGCATTCACTAGTTGTGCAAAGTTGCGCTACCTTTACAAATTGCGCCTATCTTTGCGCATATCCCGTTCCCATTCCTTTGCATCGAATATTTTATATTTTTATGTCATATCTGACTTAAAATGTATATTTTGTGTAAACATGTATTTTCCTGTTCAACGTAGATCACGCCTACAAATGCCATTAGACTCGTATCAAGATGAAGATCTAGCAGTGTTACGGGAGAGGTGGAGCGATGCGTTGTTCCGTAGACGACAACATTTACATGCACAATTGCAGGTATGTATGTAAAACTGAAATATTACTAAAACAATTCGGTAATAAATTAGTTATACAGTCGATCTGACAGTTTAGTCATATATTAGATCTTATTCAATTATTTTCTTTTACTATAGAAACTCGTAAACATGTCGCCGTCGATGAAGAGTGAGCGTGACAACGAGAGGGAACAGTCTCTCGTCGAACAGTGGGTCTCACTTACTGAGGAGAGAAATGCCGTAAGTAATATAATAGCATACTTAGTACTTACTAACCATGAAATGACATTTGAAAAAGGGTACATTATGGTGTGGAGTAACACATAGTTACCCAGTTACCCTACAAGAACGCGGGCCACTGTCAGAAGCTAATTTACCATAATACTGTTGTAACATTGCAGTGCTAATTTTCGTTTGTTCCCTACTGCAGTGTTCTGTTATTTTATTTTGTCCAGGTTTTAGTTCCCAGTCCGGGCAGTCCCATACCCGGAGCGCCGGCCGCCTGGGTGCCACCGCTGGGCATGGAACACCATATACCTGTACTGTTCTTAGATCTCAATGGTAAGTCCTTTTGCCATCTGTATTGGAAACTGTTGAATGTGTCTTCTTGTAAGATATTGTATTGTGATATGTAATCTTCCTTACTTGTCAAATAGTGATCCAGAAAATATGCTATAGTATTACAGCACAGGGTATTCATGAGTGACGTAAACAATTTGGAGACGATATACAGCCTTGGCCAAAAGTATTAGGCACCCCCAATAAAGGTCCCATGCACACGTGCTATTTAAACAATTAGTTGATATTCTTTTGAAAGATGATCTCGGTGTCATAAACCGCTATTTAAGATATTGGGCGGCAATATTTGAGTGGTTGTATAACATCTGGTGCATCAATAACGAAATATTATTTTTTTACAAAACTTACGTTTAATGTCTGATCAGTCTGTATTTCGAAGTCTTCGCTTAAAGACAGAACATTTGCAGTTTTTTGATTAAATAGAGAACAAATTTATTTAGAAATGCTAAAGAGAAACGAAATTAGTCTTAAAATCGTGTGTAAGTCAAACTTTTACATTAGCAAGGAGAGACCCAGAAAGAAATTGCGAAGTTGTTAAAATATTCGCGATGCGCAGTTCAATCTTCTATTAAACGTTTTGCTGGGACCGGTACTGATGCGAATAAAACAAAAACAGGCAGAAATAGCGTGACTGCTAGCTACCAGGACAGGAAACATAACTGCGAGCGTATCAAAGACCGTAAAAAAAATACTTTGGAGCTTGCTGCAGCTTTATCTGAAGAGACTGGTAAACGCATAAGCGCTCGGATTGCAAGACGAAGGCTAATAGAAGCAGTTTTAAAAGGTTACAAACCCAGAAAGAAGCCGTGGCTTACAGTAGAGAACAAAAGAAAATGTCTTGGTTGGGCTCTGAGACACCAACATTTCACAGAGGAGGATTGTTCAAATGTACAATGGTCGACGAATCAAACTTTGAGGTAAGTTTTATTAATTGAGTCTATAACACAATTGCAACGATTATTATTGCATTAGTCTTCAAACTCAAATGTTATAAATGTTTGTATTGTGTCAATTTTGTTTTATCATTTCAGGTATTTGGAACACCAGGTGTGACGTTTGTGAGCCGACGCAGAGGCGAAGAATATCACTCAGATTGCGTAGTCCCAACCATAAACCACGGCAGAAGCCTCGTAATGATTTGGGGCTGCATGGCTGTGAATGAAGTCGGCATAATGTGCATTTACGAAGGTCACATGAACAGTGCAAAATTCATAAATGTATTAGAAAGTGCTGTTATACCTTCATTTTCGTGTATTTTTGGTGACACTAATTTACACGGTGTTAAATTTCATCAGGAAAACGCGCCTTGTCATAATTCAGCGACACATTACACAGGTTTACTGACAAATGTATTGACCTGTTAGTTTGGCCTGCCCAGTTCCCGGATCTAAATCCAATTGAACATTTGGGGGGTATTTTAAAGAAAGAAATCAAAATATATTCCACAACATCAAAAACTGCATTAAAATGCGCTTTGATTCACGAATGGGAAGCAATTTCTCAAGAGGAATGCGTAAACCTTGTACACAGTATGCCTCACAGAGTAGCTGCTGTGATAAATTTACAGGGTGGTCCAACAAAATATTAATGTTTTTGTATGTTTGTAATAGAAATAAAGTTAATTAATCAACAAAAGTAGTTTTGTTTCTCTATAAATCAAAAATATGCAATAATTCATAGGGTGCCTAATACTTTTGGCCAAGGCTGTACATACCAAGATAAGAAACAAATAATATCCAAATAATAACCTTAAAACTGATTAAATAAAACTAAAACTTACCATAACTTACAGCGGACGACCTGACCACGCACCCGAGCGGCGAGGAGGTGACGGTGGCGGGGCTGCACTCGATCCTGCCGAAGGAGCACGGGAACAAGTTCTACGACCTGCAGATACTGCACCACCACGACAAAGATGTCTCCGCCGTCGCCTCCTGGGACTCCTCCATACATGACTCACAGTACCTCAACCGGATCACTGAAGGTAAATTCTACTTTAGATTGTAGTAGAACTAGATGTAGCTTTTGAAAGTTACTAAACTGATTCAATTTGTAAAATGTAATTTAATAATGCGCACGCGCAGCCAACTTTTTGTATGTGTTAAATTTTATCAAATTGACGTTTATTCGGGTAGTTATTGAATCAATTTAAAATACAAAAGTTGATTTATCCCCTGGTATTACGGAACATAGTGACGCGAGACACAATTTTTTTTTCTAATGTGTCTCACATACCGTCATATTAAGCAACTTTTTAACAAATTTACATATAACCATTACTACCCGATATTATTTCAAATTAAACCTTAAACCTCATAATAATACGGTTCATATTCCTTACGAAATTCATATTTAGTAAAATTAATATTGAAACATATTTATTGCGGAATAACAAAAACGTTACTTGCATTTTCTCAAACTTTAACATTACATTCCAGCCAACGAACGCGTGTACCTGATTCTGAAGACCACAGTTCGGTTGTCGCACCCCGCCCCCATGGATCTCATACTTAGGAAACGTTTAGGGTTAAACATATACAAGCGACAGAGCTTCACTGATCGGATACGCAAGAAGATTGTCAGGTTAGTTCGTCCACCTTCTGACCTTTATCAATCTTTCTTTCTTCTGTGGCTAAATATATTGGCTTTTGTAAACAAATTGTGTTTGTCTGAGTTTTATGGGTGCCAGGTTTGTGGTGGGGGTTACTATAGTGGGTGAAAGAAAGTCTTTTTTTGGTCGTTGCGTGATACAGAATGTTTGGAGGTTTAGATGTAAGTAGGTAAATTTCCTTCAATCTGGTTTTTTTTTATTTTAATCTTTTTGATCCGTCCGTATCCTATGTTACTTGGGGGTTTTCCACTGTCAATCTCAACTACAAGTACAATATAATGATACTACATATTTTTAGATTTTCAAGTTAGTTTTATTGTAATAAGGTTGAAAATCTATTGACCTATGAAAGTATGTCGACCTACTGGCCTCACAACGAAACAGAAAAAAGACAAACACAACAGAACAGTTACAAAATTCTTCTAACAAATCTTTCCTATCCATACAAGTCTGGACACTTGACTATAATGACGTATGTAATATACAAATGTGTTAGTTATTACGTGGACAGGACGGACCAGCTGACACACACCGGAGTGACGTACGAGGTCGTCTCCAATATACCGAAGGCGTCCGAGGAGTTGGAGGAGAGGGAGAGCCTCGCACAGATCGCTGCTACTGGGGAGGAAGCTAGCGCTGCTGATGGGGAGACTTATATCGGTAAGGGTCAATTTTCATTATCACCTTCTTTCTAATACCTTAGATGAGCATCATTATTAAGAGTTATTTTTCACTGTCATGCATGACTAGCCAGTTTAACCGTCTACTGTTAGTCATTGGAGAAGCCGTGCTGTTCAAAGATCTTCAGTTGATATTGGTAGGGTTTAAAAATGTTTGATTTGATCCATCTGTCCTAGTTATCATTGGTTGGTTGCCTTACTCTATAAGAAAAAAATAGGATTTTTTGTTAATTATGTGCACAGATATGATTTTTAACCACTACCTAACTAAATTTTACATTGCCAAAGCCCCATTGTTCCCTTATCACCAAAATATGAATTATCAAAGGATTTGTTACCTCATTTTGTAACTGACGCAACACCTTTACCTTTCCAGAAAAATACACTCGTGGTGTGAGTGCGGTGGAGAGTATACTGACGCTGGACCGACTCCGTCAGAGCGTCGCCGTCAAGGAGCTGGAGCAGGCGCGCGGACAACCTATCACCATGCGCAAGACCGCCTCCGTGCCGAACTTCTCACAGGTATATTCTGAATTATATCACTTTCAAATAAAAATTACGATCGTTTTTGGACTATGTACCATTTACAAAAAGTCATTAATTGCTGATTTCCTAAATATCTGGATCAATCTTGATTTTTGACGGAAATTATATAAAACTGAGATCAAAAATCGACCCTAATCTAATTGAAACTGGCAGTATAAGCAGTGACATTTGATAATACTCTTTGTGCCTCCGGAATAACGTTGTTTTTTCTATATTACCATGGCAATCTTTCTAATTTTTGTGGAGTACATAGTCCAAATATTGTCGATGAGAAACAACACCTATTTTCATAGACACACGGTACAGTCGACGCTAGTTCAGCACGTAGGTACACGCCAGATAGATGAATATTCGCACATACAAAGTATATACAATTTAAAGACAATAGTTACAGTTAATATCATCAAAGATTTAAAGCTAACAATGAAAAAGTAGTTAAACGTCTTACATACTATCGACCGACATAACTTCTACAAATAATTCAATTCTATTAAAAAAAATACTTAAACTAAGCTCGGTCGATGTATTTAAGACGCGATAACAGCTTTAGAAATACAAAATACATAATTAAAAATTTACAGGCGCGATACCGTCTACCTGTAAGTTAATTTTAACTAATAGATGTTGTAAAGCTTTGCCGTATAAACTCAATATTAACAAACACATGTAATAGTACAAGTCGATGTCGCTACTAACACACGAGTAAATTTATGTAAGTCACTGTGTAAATAAATATATAACACATTAGGTACAGGCAATATAGAGTGGAATTGATCGCTATTCAGGGCACAGGGGAGACAGGAATTATTGGCATTCTTTGTTTCTTAAGTATGTTCGTATAAATACTAAACGAATGTCAAGTCGAAATAAATGACGAGTCTCTATCCATTCGCATAAGAGTTTCAGGCATAACAATGATAATTTGAACCATAAATGCATTTACACATATAACTACTAGCGACAATGTGAACATGGTGGCTTTAATGATATTAAAATATCTATCGAACGGAACCTACCCATTCGAGTTTTTGCAATCCTATTTAAAATTACTTGTTATTCTCGCGCGGATATATCCACTGATCGGTGCCTACTGATAATAGCGTAATGTTTTATAGCCTTCCTCGATAAAGAATCATTATACAGGCATTGCAAATTAAAATTCTACAAACGATAATTACGCTAGCTTCACTACATAGTATAAAACAAAGTCGCTATCCGCCGTCTGTCTGTCCCTATGTATGCTTAGATCTTTAAAACTAGGCAACGGATTATGATGCGGTTTTTTTTAATAGATAGAGTTGTTCTTAAGGAAGGTTTATATGTATACATGCATATTGCACCCATGCGAAGCCGAGGCGGTTCGCTAGTGGTACATAAAACTATTACTTATTATTACTATATGCCAAAACTGAATGCGAATGGTGCCCCCCCCCCTGTGCCGTGTAGCGAGCTTGCTAACGTGTGTTGTGCGCGCGCAGCTGTCGCAGGCGCTGGAGCACGTCGCCAAGAACGGGAACAACGTGAGTCACTGACATGCCCAGTCACACGCATTCTTTTACCATCCGTTTTTAGTTCTCTACCTATTATTTTCACGCTAATTTATACTTTATTTTGTACGGGATACGGTTCACTGAATCAATTACTATGCCACATGGTGGTTAATCGATCGATAAACTGACTCACTGCTGGCCAACGGCTCTTTTCACAAGGAGAAGGCGTGAGCATTGATCACCCCTCTTGGTCTAGACGAGTTGACGATTTTAGAATTTTCCTCACGATTATTTCTATCACCCTATGTCGGTGGTGTGTAAATAAATTAGAAACAACATGTTACATTCGCACTTACCACATTTTAAACCTTAATACCTTAATCTTGGATGCCACAATGCACATTTGGTATATAGGGATTTAACTTGATGCCTATATTTGCGTCTGCGCAAGACCAGAATTGTCTCTTATAATGAATGAAACGATATCTAAAGCGCCGAAATTTTTTGTCAATCGTTAAGTCACAAAAAGACGAAATTTATAATATTCTTCGGAATATATTATTGATTTCTTACTAATTGGAAAATGTTTCCTTATTAAAATATATTTCTGTTTACTAGAATGCGAAAGAAACAGTGTACTAGATTGGATTTCTTGGATTGGTTTCCTTTATTCGTTTTTAGAAATAATTTACTTTTATTTTGGCCGCCATCCAATTTTGTAGTTAAAGACACACTTTCACGTAGTTAGTTATCACACTTTTTTTTTGTAGCACTTGTAATTAGTCTAATATTTATCTACATTTAAGTCAATGTCTGCAAACTGTAGTGCCAACTAAATCAAATACGTATCAACAATTAAAATGAACATTAATGTTTGGCTTTCAATGTTAAAATAAAATGAGCTTAATGTAAAGTGAAATGTAAGTGATTTCCTACTTAAAATAAATCAAACGGCTAGTAATAAAATTAACATGGAACGTATCCTCCAGTTGATGCGACTGGACTCATCATTCGAGTCTCTGGCCGGGCTGGCGTCAGGCCGCGCCGGCAGTATGGCGGACCTGGCGGAGGACACGCCGCGCCGCGCCGTGCACCGACACTCGTACGCCGCGCCCTCGCACAACGACCCCGAGATACCAACACCCACCAAACCATTCGGACTCGGTAAGTTACAACCCCACCCCCGATACTCCCAATATCTCTCCTTATTACCAACTAAAATATATATTTTTTTACAGTACAAGACACACTCCTATTTCCGAAACATTCATTCTTTACCACTCCATTACATTGTGTCATGCCTAAGTACGAATTAAATATTATTTGAAATAAAAAAGTTATTTGCAGTATCTGCACATGTGCATTCGAATAGCGCATTAACTACGACTCATAGGCTTACATCGATTTGTAAACCGTAATTTAGAACAACAATATAATTTATTAGTGCATTCCAGTAGAATAGGTAACATAAATTTGATTTAGTATGTACAGATTTCGATGCACGATAGACTAACTAGAATAGTGTTCTATTTGAGGTTAATAGTAACATTATATTTGAGAGATATCGATAAAAATATCAAGCGATTCATGTTCACAATATTGCCACGTCACAACAGTACTGAAACATCCACTCTTCATGATCTCACTATTACATTATTTTATTTTCCAATTGCTTTGTGGCAACGCTATGGCTCAGGAAACTCCCCTTCTGTCTTTATCTATCTATCTTTACCCCCCTTACTTATTTCACTGTCATGTTCTTTGATGTGACTTGTTTGAATTTTTACTAAAACATTTTTTTCTTCTATAATAAATCCATCTTTTTCTTTGAGATATCTTTGAATGGGAATGGAGTCGAATACCCAAGTTTACATAAACAGATTTAGACATTTTTTAAAATTTGAATGCTTTTCCAATATTTTATTTTATTATTTTTTAATTTTAATCTAACTTTTGCACGTTTTATTGGGCTCCATTACAATAGATCTTAAAGAACAAGGTTGACTAGGACCACAAAAATGATTCCCGACTCTGAAACTAACATTATATTTTCTGTATCTTAATCCCCCGCTACCTTCAGGCTCGTTCCTATCAGGTAAACAGAGAAAACAATATGGTATTAAATCGGAATGGCAACTGTATTGCGAAATTATTAGACGAATGCAACCGAACGATTAAAAACTAAATAGATGTGTTGTGATCATTGTTACTCATAAGGAATTTTTGTTTTTGTATGTTACCCATTGATTGGCTGTAAAATATCATCAAAAAATATTGGCATATCGAAACTGAGTGAGAACAAAATACGATGCTGAGTTCATTTTGATAAAATTAGACCCTGTATTGGCTATTAGAGGAAGCAAGCTTCGAGCATCAAGCTTCTGTCGTTGTGTTGACTGTCTGTTTGTTTGCGTGTCTCTTTCATTTGCATGGACCAGCATGACCTGTGATTTTTCCTCTCCTTCCCACTTCCTCTACGTTGATCTATTTGCTGTGGATTCGGAAACGAACGACGCTTTCAGTTAGACAACGATTTATTGCTTTACAAGTGTTAGGGTTCAACAAACCAGCCAAATATTGATTAATGTATATTGGATATCTTGTGCGATGCGTAAAAACTTTTAAGGCAGTCCTATCTTTGTATTAGTAGATATGTAGTAGTGATAGACCAATGGGATTGGATGTAGGTTTGTGTGTGTGTGTTAGGTGAAACTGTGCATGTATTGTAGACAAATATTTGGAGAAAGTATTCCTCGTGGATAGATATTGTATACCGCATGTGATAGTCTATGGACATTGTAAAGTAGGTTTGATATTTCCTATATTTTAACTTAGAATAATTTAGATAAATTGTGGTGTACGTGAATATTTAATATTTGAAGCTATGTACAGAGTTGTGTGTGATAGTTATACAGTAAGAATATTGTAAAATAGATTTAAATTATTAGAAAGGAAGAAAGTTTTTATCTTGCTTTTCAGTTAGAGGCTCTTAGCCTCTATTGTGCCCCAAACAACAAATTTCAATTAAACTAAAAATATACTAAATGTAATAGTAGTTTCCTTTAACTTATAAGTTGAATATTGTATATGAAACTTTAGCTTAATTAGTCGTCTGCTGCTGTAATTTAATTTAGACTAAGTTTGTAAATCCCAAAATTGTATGTATTGTGTTAAAGGTTTGTATTGACGAAGAAATTGATATTTTCATTGCAGCCCGGCCAACGTTCCTAAACTTGAATTTGAACCTGAACTCTCTGCGACTGCAGACGCCCAACAAGTGTATGTCCAGTTATTAAGTCGTAGAATCACTAGTTTCGCTTGTTTTTTGACGGTTTTCTTTACATGTTTGTATTATTTGTTAAGTTCATTGTACTATCTTTTCAGTGTATTGGTTTGAGACACGATTTGTATATTTATATGGCATGTGGTCGATTTTGTGGATGAATTATCACTTTTTCTTGAAAATACATGAAGAAAAGTTTGTGATTTTCTCCCTGAATGTTAAATCTGTATCATAAATCCATGATGTAAGAGGATACCTTATTAAAACCTATCTTCTGGAAGAAGCTCATCAAGTGCATCTACCAACACGACCATTGTTTTTGAGTTAGATGATAATCGAGTACCTAACAATATTATCAGTCCTAGTCACTTCTCATTATTGTAAAATTAAGTTTTGAAACCCGTTATGGACAAATTACTCCTTCAAACAAACAAACTAGGGTTTCAGGACATACATATTGTAACACTGAAAAGAATCAAATTAATTGTAAAACATTAGTTTTAATTTTTGTTTGCTACATTTCATAGTGAGTTAGTTAGTTCGTCTAGTGACAACATTGGCATGACAATCATTGTACAATCTCAAGCATGGAAGCTCATTCAAACGATGTTCTTGGAAATGAACTCATTTATTTATAATCTATGGCACGAATTGTGGCCAGAAATTTCATAGTGGGAATAAGTTCGTACATTGTGTATTTTTATGTAATTTCTCTCTTTTTAAGACAAATTCATTTTTTTATTACATTAACTGACGTATTAATTGAATTACTCACGCAATTCTTATTTCACTCAGCTATTTACGTGAGTAACGCCCAAATACTATAAGGTCGCTCAATTTTAAGACGTACTTAAATATCGTGCCTTCTCTGTCATTTACAAAGAATTTGTAGTGACAGAAATATACTTAAGCGCGACTTAAAATTGAGTGGTGTTTCAGTATTTGGACATACATCGTTTTTTTTAATTAATGTAGTAATATTTCTTATAAGACATGAAATGACAGATCGCAGATGAAAGAAAAACATGCGCGAACTTACCCCCACTACGTCAAAATCTGACCATTGTTCGTACCAGGAATTATACTTTGATGTAATTAAGCTGTTACTCTAGTATAAGCTAGGCACTACGCTATTTGGTTAACGCTAAGTACTGCACAGTTTAACTGTTTGAACAATTGAAAGGCTATTCTTGTTACACTATAAAATTTGCCAACCAAACTTTGAACTTTATAACTAACTTATTTCTTGACACACAGTCTATTTTACCTTGAAGTTTTATCTACACATCATAACTTAAGACCTTTTTGATATCACTATCACTTGAGTATCTTAATACTGAACACAGAGTGATTTAAAGTTCAAGTCACAATTTTATTCAACTTAAGACTTTATACAGTTGTCCTAAAGTATATTTTGTAGTATATGTAGTTATGGTGCGTGTGATTGCAGCGTCTCCGGCGAGTGGCAAGCTTGGGTTGCGTATGACGACGCTACACGAGGAGCCGGGCAGGAGGAACGATGAGGACTCACATTCGGAGCCAGAGTCGGCACCCGTTGATGAGCTTACTACGCCACGGTCACATGTAAGTACATAGACTCGAACTCATTGTTTTTTACTTTTTTTCGAATTTGCTCATTTGTTTAGTTTGTTTCATCAAAGAAGTTGATGTTTATTGTTCTTTAACCGAATGATTTTATTTTTGTTTGTAGCGTACACGCAACCGCGCTACTTCCCGCGGTTTCCTACCAACATCGAAGACGTTAGACTCACTCCACGAGCTGGCGTGTGAACGAGTGCCCAACAAGAACTCACCCTCAATATCATCCAGCGGCTATGGTAAGTTGATAGTAAAGAAAAACTAACTAGAAGTTGTATAGGGCATAGGGCAATACTAACTATTTTTATTGTGCATCTACCACCCATTCCCATATTCTTTTAAAAAATTCTATCCAAAGGTTGTCTGGAAGGAATCGCCGGTATAAGACCGCGTACTCAAATTACTATTGCAATTGTTTACAATTTTTTTCTGAGTGTGCAATAAAGTATAAATAAATAAATAACTACTTACTGTCTATACTGCTATAAAGATTATATTTAAAACAGTATATGAAGTTTATTTTCAAAAAAGTCAATAAATAAATATCCCTTCTAAAACATGCTCTCCATCCACCAGGTTCACAAGCAGTATCATCCACAAACCTGACGAACGACGACACACTTTCAATCCGAAGCATGTCCGTCGACGAGACACCAGACTTCGACAAAACAATGGACTACACACACATCAGTAGGACCAAGAATTCCATGGCTGGCCTTCGGAATGAAATCACGGAACTAAGAAACGATATCAATGACTTGAAGAATGATATTGTGGAGTCGAAACATGAGTTAGACGATTCTATGTTTGAGAAGGCAAAGACGCCAGTACTTACGCCTGGTTCAAGGAATCGCATCAACCCGTTTTTGAGGGATTGTGAGGATACTGTTAAAGATGAGTCGAAGAATACAATGGTGGATCCTTTGGGAGCCCTCCCAGTGGAGAGTGCGGTACTGTCCAGCAGTAAGAGCGTTGACAATACGCAAGTCAACGGTGATGTGAGCCATGAACCGCCGAATGATATTTCACATGACACCTCGCAGGATACATCGCATGATACGTCGTTTGGTAAGTGCGAACATAACATAACATAAGGTAACATAGTTTTTAATTAAGTTAACAAATTCCTACACATTATTGAATATTATAATGGTTGGTAGTCCTTAAACTACACTAGCGCCTCCATTGACGCGAAACCCCTAATTGTGCTATTCCATGATAGTATCAGGCGAAGATCTGAATGGACTGATGATCTAGATGGACTTCATGCAATTTTAATATTGTATAAATTGTAGGTGAAGCTGAAATAGAATCAGTGAGCTCTGAACAATCAAGTCACGATGCTGAGCGAAGCCGGGAAGCTTCGTCTGTCGGCGAGAGTGACTCGGCATCTACCGGACCTGACCAACCTGTTGTTAAGACACAACTGCCGGCCGGCAAGGTAAGAAGCATCATTTATATACGTTATTAAAATTATCTGTTCTAATCATGTCTATCGCATTACAGTCTGTAATTATGTGGTTTAATTTTATTTGTAAATACATGATTCATTGATTGATTTTCTGACATACTGTCTGTAAAGGAACATGTTCCGTATTCATTATTATGTTTTCGGCTTACTCACGTAACTTTTTGACGAAGAATTCGACTAGTTTCAAGTCATGCTAGTGGCTCATATTAATGGAACAGCATTCACAACCCGCAACGCAGCGACTGAATGCTGTTGAATTTAGTATGTCTCACGAAAGTTTTAATATGTTCCGTAATACTGAAACTTTAATCATGTACAAAGATGTGTTTACAGAGAAATCTTTTTCATTTTTAGTATATGCCAACGTGACTGCATAATTTAAATGTTTTATAAACCTCTCTGACGAGGCAGATGAAACAAGATAAAGTTTAAGGCATCATATTATGATATTTTTTATATTAAATTAAATATTCTCCTACAGGTTGTCCGTCGTCGTGCCGGCGGTAGTGCGCGCAATGCGTCGCGTGCGTCGTTCCCCAGCGGACGGCCGCGCTCCGCGCACGAACCCGGCCTGCATCATACGCCCGCCTCCTCTACTGAACGGATCGGGGACGGTGAGTGACACCTACAGTAATAGACAATAATTATGTCGACATTATACACTATACAGTAGTAGAAAGTGAGGTAGAAATGATAGATTATAGATGTTTATGTTAGTGTTATTTTGTATTAGTACTCTTATTTGTGTAGGTATCCTAAAAAGTACTGTTAGATTTAGCTAAAGCTGATTAACAAAATTTTCAATTTCAGGTTTGTTATAATCATTTTGAGTATTGAATCGAGTTCTGATCTCAAAGAATTGATTGGGGTTTAAAGTGTTAGAAGAAACTACAAGACAAATTGTACCAATCGTATAATTTCACACACTTTTTATTGAATATTCCATCCCTTATACCACAAAATTACATATTAACAACGTTTGGTATATACAGACGATTCGTCGGAGTGTCCAGTGCTACAGCCGTGGATGTGTGTGGGAGAGAGCGTCCAGCTGCGCCTCAGTAGCAGTACGGGCGTCATCGCGTACGCCGGGCCCACGCACTTCGCGGCCGGCACGTGGATCGGGATCGAACTCGACGCGCCCACTGGTATGTTGTTTAAAATTATTGTCCTTAAGGTTAGGTTAGGTTTTAACCCATAAATCCCCAAGCGGTCACCGATGCCCGCTTTCCACTAATATTACATTACATTATAGACCTTATTTCTAATGTTCAGAGACTACTTTTGTATGACCAAATTTAGGGGGTGGATTTCAACAGGTATAATCATAACAAAAGTAAAGAAAGTCATTGGAGGAAACCTTTGTTCTGCTGTGAACATCTTGTGACTACTATAATAAAATTGATATCATTTCATACTCCGTTACTAAAGATTCAAGTTACAGTGTATGTATTGTATTTTAATAAGTGGGAACAGCAACTTTTTGCCATACATATGACGGGAATATTTACGGAAATCATGAAATATCATAATTTTGTGTACTTTAAATGAGTATCTTTATCTCCATCAGGCAAAAACGACGGTTCAGTAGGCGGTCAGCGTTACTTCGAGTGCCGACCCCGTCACGGTATATTCGTGCGGCCCGACAAGATCGTACACGACCGCCGCGGCCGCTCCGCGCGCGCCTTCCGGGACAACGAGCTCAAGCGGGCGCAGAGCAAGGGTGGGTACTCTACCTGATATTATATTTGTTATTTTATTTATTAAACAAGTATGTACACAAACTAAATAACTAACGTAAAATAACATTTTATTGAATTGCTCCCCCATCCCTAAAGCTTTTGTCGTATGTTAAATGTAATTTCCACATTTTTTTACAAAATTTTATGATATCACAAAATGCAGATTAGTGTGGGTCAGATGTTAAGAGGGAAGTAAACTTTGTTCCAGGAGAAGGCCTACACAACTTACACAGATCGCGGAGTCGCGGCGACAGCATAAACTCTGTCGGCACCAAAACTAGGATTAGCAAATAGAGCATCCTCCGCCTCGGCGTACATCGCTCGCTCCACGAACCTCTCCACACAGGACGCGGACACAGCCGGCAATGTATCCGACCGAATTTATATTTACGTCCCACACTACTTGTATCATAGAATCGCATTTTTCGTTGCAGTCGTGTAACTCGTATGGTGCTTATATGTATTGTAGATGTTTATTTACTACCCTTGAAGCAATATTGTTCGCCTTCGTTTTTATTGAGTCGGGGACAGAGTAGGGGAAACCAGTCTCTGTTTTATTGACCGCGTCAATAGAATGTGTAGACGTCGCCATGTTTCCGGATTGTTTGACTCTCGGTGTCCTATAGGGCAGGACATCGGGACACTGAGAACGCCCTGCAGATGTTAGTACAGTTGGCTACACAAGTGGTATGTCACCACGACAGTTAGCGACAAATGTTACATATATATGAGAAACGTATTTTAAATCACTGCCTCTATAAGCTAAGAGGATAATCACGTTTTGTCATAAAAAATAATCAAATTTATAGCAATATTATAGTCAAATATACTATAAAGTAAGAGTCATCTGTATATAACACTTGCTGTTTTTTTTATCGTGTATAATATACCACTTTTGTAGTGAACTGTCGTTATGTTTTATCGTATGGATTAAATGAAATTATTTTTAAATATTTGTAAATAATATTATGGAATTATAATGTGATTTAATTTTATCATTTTTGGAAATCATGTAAATATGTGGATTTGTGTGTGTATTATTATTTTAATGATCATCGGTGATTGACTATTGTTTATTAAGTTATTTGTATAAATTCTTTCTAATGTATAGTTTGTGGTCATAGCTGTTACGATACTGTATACCTATTTATCTATGTCTAGCTCATCGACCACTGTATCTGCTTACCCTCGTGTGACCGCACAGTTTTATATTCTGCACAGGGAATATAACTTCTGTGATTTTGTCATTTTACTGTTTCTCTTCACTGTTGCATTTTATATGACGTTTTCAAATTAGGGTGAAGTGTTCGATTCTTGTCCGCGTTTTAGGGTGTCGCCAAACTTAATTAAGTAATTTCGAAACTACTTTCGATACCGTGTCTTATGTACCAGTAAATAGCGTTCTTAATTGTATGCTTCACCCTACCTCTTATTATAATATTCTAACCTATTACTGCATAGTGCTCACGTGCATTTTGTGTTCGACACACGATTGCCAGTTTCGATTGTGATAGTATCTTGCCACCTAACTATTAAAAATCTTATTTTTTTTATTTCGACGCCTGCTTTTGCCCCTTTTATTTAAAGGTGTATCTCAAGTAGTTTATGAAATCGTCCAATATTACATCTTCGTCCTTGTAAAAGACTTTGTACTTAGTACATTAACCACTGACGGATAACAAGTCCAGACATTGACGCTCCGATGTACGGCGCAAGCGGTGAGCGAACCAAGCAATCTATACTGCCATTGTAATGCTTGTAATTCGATATAACACTACTAGTGATCCTTTCTAATATTTCATTTTTATTATCGAATAAGTGCCGGCCGTCATTTTTGTGTCGGCGAGGTTCTCTTGCCAAGAAGACGTCTATCAGCTCTGACAGATGTGACGTCATAGATTCACTCATCTCTTGCGCCACACACACACATTTATATCGATTAGGTTGTGTATATTCGAAATTTTATGTAAATGTAGTCGTCAATCGGCATTCTGTAAATTAAATGTCACTTACTTAAAAATTGTCCTCAATTTATTATCTCCATCCACGTTCGAACAATAAATCGATGAGGTATTCTATCTGTAATTAGGAAAACAAAATTCTTAATCAATGTTCTCTCCATTATAGTAATACGAAGAGTTATAGTTTAATTTTGGAATAAAGCCTAATTTGGATAATTTATCAAGATATATTGTAGCGGCATAGTGCGCGTGTAATCGTATTAGGTAATGTCCACATTGTTCGCTCCGTGGTAAGACGGGGCTTCTTAGATCACCTAATGTATATTCCATCCTCTTAGTAAAGTAATCGTTCGTAAGTACACTAAATGAGTACACAGAATAGAGTAACACGCCTCGTTATCTACTAGCGTTTGTAAGTCCCACTTTCAGCGTTCGTTCATAGTTCGCCACTTGCCTCCATTCCTTGAGGGCAATTCTGTGACGTCACATCGTAGAACATTCTAGTTCTCGTCACGCGTCGAAACGTATCATCGAAAGTGTTGTGTGTCGCCATAAGTCGCTGAGTTGCATTCCAACATGTGGCGTCAACGAATACCTCTGTAAACATATGTATATTTACATTTAAATGTAAGTAAGTTATTGATATAAAATGTTATTCAAAAATTATAAAAACAGCTGTTTCAAAGTATGCACTCGAGAATTTAATGCCAATTTTAGTAGAGCCGCGATTCCATAGCGAGCGATACGTGACACTACCGTGTGATCCACTGCGATCTCTCGGGACTCGTTGGTATTGTTAACGTTGGTGGTATGACGCCACTGACGCCTCGCCATGGGACAGCGGATCAGATAACTTGTAAGCATTGACTGACATCATATTTGTCACATACATAGAATTATCACGATAAACATTTATCGAAAGCTTATTAGACTGTCGTACTTAAACATTCCATTTTTTCTATACATTTATCGTTCTAGCAGACGTTCAGTAGTATTTATCAGTGATTAGTTAGAATTTTAACTACAGAATGCGACTTATATGGCGTTTATTTTGCATTTTACGATTTTTAACTTTGAATGTAAAAGTATTTACCATTATAATAAATAAATCTGGCCCTAACTAGGACAGCTCAATGTGTAGTCGACGTTAAAAAAATCTAAAATGAAATATACGTATTTTGAAATATAGTAGGATGTGTCTTTGAAACTCTTGATGTGCTTATGTCCAGTAGTTTGGTAGAACACGGGCAAAGGACTGGCTGTCAAGCGAAGCAGGTACCACGCCTTGAATGTGTCGGCTCGGGTCAGATGTCTCGGAGTGTGCACTAGGGCTCCTAGGTTTAGGCAAATAGTGACCTTAAAAGCAGCGTCTCGTAGGTCCTAATTTAATTTTTAGAAATTAAGCTGACCATGTGCTGTGCTTTTGTTTTAAACAAATAGTATTTAGGTAAATGAAATAATTTGTTGTTTAATATTATTTCATATTAGAAAATTGTGTGTATTATTCGCAGTCAATTCAAGATATCACACGCTTTTAAGAATGTGAATGTAATATTATTATTTTATGAAATGTGACTTGCATGGATTTTATTTTAGCGTAGATACAGTTAAGTAAATTAATTTTGCCAGGATTGGAAATGTAAAATAAATAAATGACAAAGTAATGTATGTATTTCTAATTCTTTTTGTGATAAATGGGCAGCTACTTTGTAGCATAGATGGTTGCATCTTCATTACTATACACATAAAGCATAATAAAGAGATTTTAATATTTAAATACAAAAATAGTTCACTTCTAGTGGAAATATTTTTGCCAAGTAGCAAGTTCGAGTCAACCATCGCTGTCATTATCAATAAATGTATTATAAAATATTGTTTCTGTATTTTATTCCTGTAGTTTGTAGATACCCTTATATCATAAAAATAGAACTTTGGATTTAGATGGTTGTGAATCTGAACTATAATAGTAACTAGTTATTAGCTATGAAAGTAGTAATTGAAGTAGCTGGAAAAGAAGTAAAAATATTGGAATCTGAAAGTAGCTTTTTCATTACATTACATTATGAACTAGAGACAATTTCAATTTAAATTAAACTGCTGTCTATCTAGAAGTAGTAAAGCCCCATACCGATTAACCGAACTTCTCAAATGTTTTGTCCTTGCAATTTGTAGATTGAAGGATATACCTATATTTTAAACCTAGGATACAATTATACAAGGATATACTAACATGAGAAACATCAAAACATACAATGAAGCTATAAGGAAGTGGTGGCGAGCAGACAACGTGGCATGCTGTTCGTATAATTACCGAATGATTACTACGAAGACAAGTTGCTGAATGACCTTTCTAAGTATCTATTAAAATTGAGCTCTAATGTTAGTAAATACGCGTAAGTATAATATAATGTATTTATCTGGTTACCACCTGAAATAAATTTTAGGACATAAAATCTAACGTCGAACACGATGAAAAATACAACTAAAAACTGGCCTGCGGGGTTATTACGACGGTTCCATTGAGGGAAAGAAACAAACCTATACAAGTCGTCTAGCGAGATATCGTTCCCTTAGCGGAACCAGCCTGGCTTTAAGACGTCAAAATTCGCCACCTGAAAATGCTTAGGCACAATGCTGATTGACTGTTGCAAATAAAAAAATAACATGCGTCTTTGGTACTGACATTTCAAAGATACAAAACGGCGGGAACACGTCATACATTCTGAGTTATCAGTTTTAGCTAATATGTACTGGCTGTAAAATACTTTATTCCAATTACATATCTCTGCAGAAACTTCTTCTTACTACTACCTATACATAGAATAATATTTATTTAATGCCCAAGTTAACATCTGACAAATGGAAATTTAATTGTCATCCAAAGTTACGATCGCGATGAAGACTCGCGTGAAAGGAATCCATCATATTTGATTTATTCGATTAATGCAAGCAAAATGGAAGTTTGATCCGAGGAATTTTATGAAAGGTAAATAAATTATAAAACATTCAACACGTCAGTTTATATTTCAGGAAGGTTCAGCTAGGATTTTATGTAAGTAACCCAGTATGATTGGTGGAAGTGATAGCAAGGTACAAGTTAACAGCGTGTAACTATATTTATTCAGGCAGCTGTATACTTTGTTTTGATGCTATTTATGCTTAGACGGAGTTTATCAAAATATCTCGGTCTTATTTAGGTAGGTATGATGTTTTATCATTCCTGTTTTTTATGAGTTTTGAGGAGTAAGTAGAAATATACCTAACCAACGAATTAAGTAAAGTAGATACTAATCTACCTACTGTAGGTAAGTAACCTTGGTCTATCTCTTATAAGGTGAGTAAATTTATGACTTTATTATTACAGCCTTTTGAAAGCTTTAGGCTTTATGAAGGAAAGGTACCCAAGCGTCTTACAGTCAGTAGACTGTAAGACTCAATACTCATAAGTTCATAATAGTGAGAAGTTAAGTGTCACATTTAATCGGCGCATTTCTGTGTACTTTATAAAAGCGTGGTGTCAGTTATGTAATAAGTACCATACAATATCGCTTCAGCTTTTGGCTCGTGGCACACAAAGGTTATAACTACGACAGTTGACCTTATTCTTGGGCGACGTCGCACGAGTGTCATCTTGCTGGCGGGCGGCGCAGGGCGGCGCGCTAACCGCCTGGTACGCGCTTTGCCCACTTACTGTACTGGTGGCAGAAGCAGTTGTTCAATAACGATTGCTATTTAAATATTGACCAAATTTTCATAGTAGGCAACTCAATTTCAAATAATGGCGGCGGTAGGCAAAATGATGTTTGTGTTTAAAAATAGGTTGAGTGTATGATGGCACTCTCGGTTCTTTTAGTATAACCATAAGGTTCTTGGTCAGTTGCCTATGCCCACAACCACAAGATTTGAGATTTTCCGTCCGTTGCTTTTAATTTTCTGATAGGTACTTACAATACAATACTTAGATTGGATCAGTAACTGAGATGTACAAAGGAAGTTTCATAGGCGGCTTAAGTTAATCCACTTTTTGTGTACACCCTACACTTAATGTATTTTAGTTTTAGTATAGCTATGCTGATGCTCGTTACAAAGGAGACATCGTTCCATAATGGCATGCCGTTGGGACTTGCGTGACTTGCCTTTTGCCTCTACCTTTCGCAGTCCGTACTTTGTCAAAGACGTTCCAACCGGCGTAGGAGAAGCAGGTCTTCAAAATGACTTAACATACAAAGAAATCTCTTATTCTTACCAAACATGGACCAACAGGCTCCATCGTCATCCAATCAGGACCCTCGTTTCGACTTCATAGGGTCTTATGCAGTAAAATCGCTTAAATTGAAGCCTGAAAAATGGATGAGGGTGCTGGGTTTGGAAGAACACAGGTCCACTTTGAAGGACTTTGTGGACAAGCCTTTGCCCATGCTTTTGGTGGTGGTCCTGACGAATGCACTACAATTAGTACCGGTCGTGTCATTCCCATGTTACTTGAAGAACAAAGCTGTTTACTTTGTCAAGAAGAAGCCGGATGCTATACCGAAGGAAGATTGTGCGCAGATGGTTATTTTTGGTGAGACTAATATTTTCTTGTTTAAAATGTATTACAACATTCTTATAATTTTTATTTACGTAAACAAATCTTTCTCTGTAGGCGACCTAGCACCAAGACTAATAGATGAGTTAGCCGCACTGGTTGACGAGGTATTTGTGCCTCTTCTTTCTAACCCGTTGAATCATCAAGGCTGGCCTCTTGTCGTCTCCCAAGATATTCTCAAACAAATTCACAATCTCAAGAGTACGGTTTATGAGGTAAGGCAATGTGTTTGTTTCTCGCAGTCGGATTGTTAACTTTCGTTTGACGCTTCTGTTGGTTTTATGTATGCAATTTGTTGGTTTTTATGTTTTATCCATTGATACGTAAATTAGGTACTAGGTCTAATGACTAGACACTGCAATCACAAGACCGTTTGTAGTATATACGATCTGTTACATTACGACATGATAAATATTAAAAGATCCTTTCAAGTCTTAAAATCGACAAAGTCAGACAGTTGGTCAGGGTTTTAGTGCGGTATTTAAAAAATATGATTACATTATATTACGTTCCAAATATTTTATTATTATCTAAAACCAAGTTAAATTGTACTTAGGTAAAAGGCAAAGTAAACGGTCAAACAGTGTTACCAATGCCAGTGGGTGTAGAACTAGTCCATGAAGCAGAGAAGGAACTGATAAGAGGGAAGGAGGTAGACTTGTACTTGAAGAGTGCTATCGAGGGAGTGGTCATCAAATGGGCTCAGCAGATCAATGATGTGATGATGGAGGACTCTGCACAGGCATTTGATAATGGACAGAATCCGTCGCCGAGTGTTGGTAAGAATTTTTTTTAAATGACGCTATAAACACATTTTTATGATATTCTTTTGAAGATCCCTTTACAACCTATCTTACACCTACATGAAACAATTCCTGTGTACGATTTGGTACTGTATCTATGTTATATTGACTAGACAACTTCAACTCTCGATGACTGCCTCGATGGCCGAGTGGTCGCAATTGCGACTGCCGGGTAAGGGGTCTCGGGTTCGATTCCCGGGTCGGGCAAAGTATTACTGGGTTTTTAAAAATTCTCAGTAGTAGCACGGAGTCTGGAACTGTGCCCGGTATATGGCAATAGGCTCACCCCCTATTACATGGGACTCATAACATAAATAGTGAAAAGCGGGTGTTACATTGTACAGTGGTATAATGTGCACCTCTGCCTACCCCTTCGAGGATAAAAGGCGTGATGTTATGTATTTATGTATGTACAACTTCAACTTTCCACTGAAATGCGTATCTAAAATAGACTACGCTTAGGTTCCTCCCTGTAAATATCACTCTTTAATGCTCTTTGTCTACGACAAAAACACAAACCCCAATAAAATTTAAACATTTTTCTAGAACTGGCGTTCTGGAAATCAAGACTCAGTAATCTGAACTATATTTATGACCAGCTACGAACAGAGAGAGTCAGGTGTATGGCGGTGATACTGGAGAAAACGACGTCAGCCTACTATCCTTGCTTCAGCAGACTGTTTAAGAACATCGTTTCAGGTTTGTATATACAGAAAAACAATGAAGATAGAAAGTATTTCTTAAAAGTACCTAATGCATTTACAGTACGATTATATGTACTTAATAATTGTTTTATACTGTGTTTAAAAATACCGACTTCAACCCTCTCTGTATTTAATTCTGTTAATTAATATACTAAAACCTCCTACTAAGTCTATTGCTTTGTTCGCACTACGCTTGTATTTTAGTCGAGTGACGAGCATTTAGTAGCCTTCTCTCGCTTCTGTGCCAAAATCGAAGCGAGAGAGAGCTACTAAAAACTCGCTACTGGACTAAAACACTAGCGCAGTGCGAACAAGGCTTAAGAAACACTTTTCTGAAAACCGCATTACATTAGTTCAGCCAATTGCGATATAATCGCACACATACATACATATACAGGTCAAACTGAGAACCAATTGATCACTCAATACACATGTAATAACTACATCGTTAGTTTAGTGGGTGCAACTGCTGAACGGAGGTCTTGTTCCAATTTGCAGCATTAGCGGAGGCCCGTGAAATAGACCTGTATCTCCGAACATTAGAGAAGCACTTCCAAGGTTTAGAAGAGATAGACTTCACGGAGTGTCAGCCGTTATTCCGACCTCTCTTTCACGTTATCTGCATGATCTGGAGAGACTCCAAGTACTACTGCAACTCCTCGAAACTCATTGTGTTGTTGAAGCAGATATCCAATTTACTGATTTATCAAGTAAGTTATCAAATGAGACATTGTAATATATTGTTTAGTTATTGATATTATTTTATTAGCCCCACGTTAGTATTATCTCCTGTGTCGTGTAGCTGTACAAATATCGAACTTCACATCCGCATCAGACACAGACCCGGAACTATAATTTGTGGATCACACAAATAGTTGTTCCGTACAGGAATTAAACCCGCTAAATGTTTATAAAAACAAAGAAAGTCGTGCATTATTGCTAATGAGTTGCACTGATTTTATTAATGTAGTGGGTTCGTTTTCGAACTCATAACTCAAGTCAATAATTTGTACCTAATCGGCCTTATTGGTGTATTTACCAAAAATCTAAATGCTTCTAAATTCCCAGTGCATGAAATCGACTGTTTTCTAAGTGAAATTATAACGCCACACATATGTAGGTATATCTTGTTGCAAACAGCGTAGCAATGTGAATGATGAGCTGCCAATCATTCACAGCATATGATGCGGTTGTACTAATTACTCTGTATGCTATCACATTTCTTAGTTAAATGATCGTGAAAGTGACAGGAGAGGTCATGAGCTTGATTGTTGGGTCGAGCTAAGTAATATTAATAGCTTTCTCGATTGAGATATTTTCATTATGTTTGAATGAAGTTGGGCTGTTGTACGGACAATTGGGGACATAACAGACGTAACGCGAAAATATTAATTAATTAACAAAGTTCTATCATGCAACTAAAACATAGAATAATTAGGAAATATCATACAAAGTTGAGTAAGTCTGCAGACTAATTGCGGACTTGCGGTTACTAAAAGTCGTTCAATCTAAATGAGCCGTAGCTTGTATGAGAAGTTTAAAATTCTGGTATAATTGACCTCATGCCTTACCTATGCACACACTTGCTCAACTCAATATTCAAACGCCTACATGCAATCACCACATGTGGTTACAAAGATTGCGTTACCACCTTCGTTTTTCGACGTTATGTATGTTCGCATGCAAAATATAGTTAGGTACACAAGCACTAAGTAAATTCGTACCAGTTTGCGATATTGTCAAAGTAGGTAACGTTCCTAGACATTCTGTAGCCAAAACGCTATATGAATTATTAATTTTAGGATGTTCACGAACTACAAAAATAAATAGACCCAGTCTAGTTGTTTACGATTTATGAACTTGCGACTTAGCACGAAGGTACGAAGCACGCGGCTGTTACGTAACAGTTGTAGTATTCCAATGCCTTCGAAGTAAAAGACAATTTTCTATTTTAGGCCAAAAAATGTTTGGATCCAACCACATTATTTCACAGTGACATCGATGAAGCGACACTACGGATACAAGTCACGATAGACATACTCAAGAAGTTTAAAGCGACCTTCGAATATTTTAAGGAAAATTTGGGGAAATATTTCGTCGACAGGCGAGTGATACCGTGGACATTTCATCCTAACGTTGTTTTTGAGAGACTCAATAAATTCTTGGACAGATTGAACACGATACAATGGTTCTTCAAAACAGTTTTAGAATTTCAAAAATTGGAGAAGATAGAGATTGGTGGGATGAAAGGAAGAGTTCTCGGAGGACAAATCAGAGAAATATCAGCAGAATTCGATGCTTATTTTACTGGGTTTGCCTCAAAGTCATACGATGTACTAGATCCAGACGATGAAACATTCAATGAAGATTTCAAAGCATTTCAAGAGAACATTATTGATCTGGATCTCAAACTTTCGACGGTTTTAGTTGAATCGTTTGATAATTGCACGACATTAGAATCCATTTTCAAGGTAATTCGATTGCATGACTGTGATCAATTATTTAATGAAAATTCAATTAGGATAAAAATAATCGAGAGATCGCACGATACAGTAATGTTATACTTATTTCAGTTGATTGATGTTGTTGGATCAGTTTTGGATCGACCTCTTATTAGCAAAGAATTCACAGCAAAGTATGTGGAGATCATAGTTATGCTTGAAGAAGAAATTAATACTTGCGAAGTAAGTCTACATTTTTACAAATTAATCATGACAATAGATAATGTTTGGTAGAAGAGTTTTATTAGGTAATTGAAGTTTGGTGTAGCTTAGTCTATCTTTCAGGAATTGTTCAATGAACAGAGCAACCGTTTGGAGAAATATGGCATGATGGAAGTGGATGCCTACCTGCCTCCCATTGCCGGCGGCCTACTGTTCATGACTACGCTAGCTGCAAGAATAACCAAGCCTATAGCTAGCTTTCGCAATTTGCCGCACCCGTAAGTGAGCCTGGGTGGGGCAAATTGCGAAAGCTGATTATTTGGCTTACACTCGTCTATATACTTTACAAAAATCCATATCCTGAGGTTTCATGTTTTTGGATTAGTAGACCTAGAATACTTCCCAGTTTTTCTCTTTGTATTTAATTCCAAGCACTCACATAAATACTACACACATTGCTTCTAACAGTCAATAATTGAAATAAGGCAAAAATTATTAATTACATTTTCTTTAGGATAAAGGGTACGGATGAGGCGAAGAAGATCTTCATAAGACATGAGGAATTGATTGAGAAAATCAATGAGTTTAAAAGGAAATATTTTTATGATTGGACTCTTACGGTTTCGAAGATCATTGAAGAGACAACTAACAATATGATACTAGCACGGCAAGGCTCGGACTTGGTATTAAATTTTCATCCAATGGTTAGTTCTCATCATTTAAATCAACACCAAGTTTTTTAATTCATAACATAGAATATTTGAAATGCAATTGATATTGTTTCCTTTCAGCTTCTAGACATTCTGAAAGAAGTACATCACTTACGATCAAATGATCAGTACAAAGACATGCTTCCAGCTGATGCCTTAGCTATATTTGAGAAACAAGAAACGTATAGACAATACAGGATCAATTTGGGAATAACAATAGATTGGTACAACCAGATTAGAAAGAATAGTCAAAAAGTGGAATTTGATTTGGTAGAAGATGAAATAAAGGCTATTGATCAGAGAATTGAAATGGCACAGAACAAACTAAATTGGAATTCAAATGGTAATGCATTAATATTACAGCATGAAGTAAATTAAGCATTTGGAACAGACGATACTAAATATGAGATTTATTACAGATTTATGGAATAACTTGCAAGAACTTCACACATTAGTAGGCAATCTATTCGAAAGGATGTCAAAAATACAATCTAATTTAGTGGAAATCAAAGAAACTATGAAAGATTGGTCAGTACAGCCGTTGTTTGAAAGGAAGGAAGGAAAAAAGGTAAGACAGGCGATAACAGAGTTTATGAAATTACGGAAAGGTATTTAATACTTTAACATGCATATATTTTTATAGGATACTTTAATGAATTTAGAAGATCGTCCTGACAGGAAAGATAAACGTTATAATGATATCATTAGTACAGCTAATCGAATCAATGAATTGCTGAATGAGAACATGGAACTATTCAACATGCAAAATAACCAAAATAGTGAAATTTGGATGAACTACGTCGCGTTTATTGATGCGTTGTTGGAGGAAGCATTGTTTAAAACTATTGCATGCAGGTATAATCTTAAGCTTTATGTTTTAGAAACTTATTTTATACAACAAGATTACGAACTTATTTCGTAGGTATTTCGTAGGTCTACTAAGGTAAGGTGCCTACTAATATTTTAAATGAAAGAAGTAATGCAATTTTGTCCTAATGCACAAACGCGACGCAATTTTAAGTCGAGCTGAAGTATAGTTCTGTTACTACTAATTCTTTGTACTTTGACAGAGATGCACGATATTTAAGTACAATTTAAAATTGAGTAACCTTTCAGTACTCAGGCGTTAGTAGCTTATAAACTTGTATCTATTGAATTTGAAATAATTAGTTCTATTAAGTTGATAAGATCATTTTATATAGCGGTGTTCAACTTTATATTCACAGTTTGGGCTACATAACGGAACACATGAATCCTAAAAACAAATTATCTCCATTATTTGAAGCTCAGTTGGAACTTTTAGACCCAGACATGGTATTCGTTCCAAGCTTAGATCCAAGTGATGAGAAAGGTTTTACAGCATTAATAAAGAGCCTTATTGAGGATGTAGTAAATATGTCTACGTTGATCGAGAGAATTGATAAGCAGAAAGAGCAGACTTATGAGAAAGAAATTATTGGCAGTGATGATGTTATTGAGATGAAGGAAGAAATTTTGAATGGGATCGAAAAGGTAATTAATGGCCTGACCACGTATTGATATATTGTACTTCATAATAGTAGTAAGTTAATTAGTAACTTATACCTACCACTGGTATCTATACTGTCTATTATTTTTTATTCAGTGAACTAAATGTTAAACGTATTTTTTGTTCTTTATCCTCATTTTGGAATTATTCACAGGTCATTGAGGATGCAAATGAATTTTGCAAAACCTTTGAGAACTATTCCTACTTATGGCTGGAAGAAAGAGATGCTGTGATGGAAATATTCCTGACATACGGCAGGATTTTAACTCCTGATGAAGTGGACAAACTAGCTCTGGAAGAAAAAGATAGAATAGAAGGCGATGTTCCAGTACCATGTGAACCTAAAATGGAAGCTTTTAGAGAGCAAATTGATCATTATGAAAATTTGTTCATGGAAATTGAGGATATGCAGCCTTATAAAATCTTCAATAACTGGTTTCAGGTGGGAGATGAACCAACAATTGTAAAATAGTTTTAAGTAGTGACGTGTAGTGACGTTACCTTCTTAACATTTTACTAATTTTATCTCAGGTGGATGTTCGACCGTTCAGACAAGCTTCACTGAATACTGTTAGAAAATGGGGCAATATGTACAAAGAGCATTTAGTCAATAAAGTGACTTGCAGTCTCAGTGACTTAGGGAACTTTATAAGGGACGCTGATGAAGGTATGCACAATGGATGTGTACTCACATCTACTTTTGAACGCTAAGTAATAAAAATACTAAGTTTGCCATTAGTAAACGTACCTATTAAGCGAATTCTACTCTTATTTGTCAGGCTTACTACAACCAGTACCAGAAGGAGACTACGAAGCACTCGTCAGAATAATGGGATACCTGATGCATGTAAAAGACCGGACAGTAACCACTGATGACATGTTCCAACCACTAACGGAGACCATTGAACTCCTGAAGTTCTACGACATGGATATACCGGAAGAAGTGAATGTGTTGCTGCAGGTAAATATAAGCAGGCGAAAGTGATCTTTGAGAATAGTCTTAAAACATTGTATTGGCTGATAATACTATCATTTATGCTTCTTAGGAACTACCAGAGCAATGGCAAGCAACAAAGAAATTGGCGCTGACGGTGAAACAGCAAGTAGCACCGTTGCAAGCTGCTGAAGTATCTGGAATAAGAAAGAAGATAGCAACTTTTGATAGCCATGTCACGTACTATAGAGAAGTGTTCAAACGATATGAGGTAAGGACTAAACAATTCAGACTTCAATGTATTCAATGATTTTAGTTTGAAAATGTTAATGCTAAATCAATTTGTAGTTCTTCAAATATGACTGTGAAGATCCTTATGAAGTGATGTCGAGAGTAGACTTTGAACTATTGTACCTGGAAGAAGAGATGAGGAGCATACAGGAGTCAGGATCCTTGTTCGAAGTAAACGTCCCAGAGTTCAAATTGTTAAAGCAATGTAGGAAGGAATTGAGGATGTTGAAGGTATTACAATTGATTTTAAGAATAAAATATAAAATTTTAGTTGGGTTGCTAATGGTGTTACTATGGTTTTCTAGCAACTTTGGGATTACGTATATATTGTAAGAACTAGCATAGAAGATTGGAAGACTACACCATGGCGTAAAATAGATGTTGAAAATATGGATATTGAATGCAAAAAGTTTGCTAAAGAGATTCGATTACTTGACAAGGAGATGAGGAGGTAGGTGAAGAAAAAAATAAAATAACAGAAATATTATCTTTAAAAACACATCAATTAAAATTGTACCTTTCTAGTTGGGATACATACATAACCTTGGAAGCCACAGTAAAGAATATGCTCACATCATTGCGAGCAGTCGGTGAGCTCCAAAACCCAGCAATCAGGGAAAGGCATTGGGACCAACTGATGAGTACAACTAAGGTGAACTTTATATGATTAGGGAATTTAAATACTTAAATGAAATTGTAAATAAATAAATATAAAATGTAAATATAACATGAATGTTGTGTTAGCACTTTCAAGACCTCAAGGATTGCGAATCAGCTGATGGGTTTGAGACTTTCAATTATGCATTTTGCATGGTCGTTTAAAGTTATCATTCCATTTGCTCAAATCTTCGTTAAAATATTTGGAACTTGGTAATTTTATGGTTACTTTTAACTCATCGAATGGTTATGGTAACTTTTCGTTTAAACGCGGCATGCATTTGCTTTGAATGAAACATTCACTTAATTGTACAGTTTGTGATTGCCTGATACTTTGTATTATACAACGTCAGTGTTTTGAAAGTATGCATCGAATGAATTGTTATGCGAATGTAAATATGTTTGTGATTCACAGAGCTTAGCAGCATTACCACGTGAGCTCACTGTAAGTATGACAATGCCTCGGTGTGTATAGTGTACATATTTATCTTGTACTATAACGACTTTACTAACTTTTTAAATATTGTTTCCAACATTTACTTTATTTTTGTCATCTTCACATTTTTTTTTAATACTCAACTACACTGTCTACACTGCTTCGTGTTAGCGCATTTGGAAGTGTGTTATATCTATATTAGTTTTGTATTCCACTAATTAAATATTTAATTCCTGTCATTCGAATAATTCGCACTTACGTAAGTATTTAACACGAGTTAAACAATTTACATAAAATTAATTTAAAATCTGTAGACATAAAGTTGATTATTTATCATCATGCAAATATATTTTTTCTCTATTTATGTGAGACTGGTTTTCTAAAAGTCGATGTAATAATATAGGTAAGAATCGTAATGGATATGAATACGACGTTGGCTGATTTACTTGCCCTGAACTTGCACGAATGTGAAGAAGAAGTCAAGAATATTGTAGATAAAGCTGTAAAAGAGATGTCTATGGAGAAGGTATTGAAAGATTTGCATACTACATGGAGTCATTTGGAGTTTGAACAAGAAGTTCATGCTCGTACACAGTGTACGCTACTGAGAGCTAGTGAAGAGCTTATTGAGACTTTAGAAGAAAATCAGGTACAACTTGATGAAATGTAATCTTACAAGGGCATGTTTAGAAAGGAATACTTATAATGAATGTCAAATTGTTATAGGTCCAACTTCAAAACTTAATAACATCAAAATTCATAGCGTATTTCTTGGAAGAAGTATCAGGCTGGCAGCAAAAACTGTCTATTGCTGATCAAGTGATTACAGTGTGGTTTGAAGTTCAAAGAACTTGGACACATTTGGAGAGTATCTTCATGAGCTCAGAAGATATTAGAAAACAGTTGCCTGAAGATTCCGCTAGGTTCGATAGGATTGATGCTGAGTTCAAAGTAAGTTAAAATGTTAACCGAAATATTTTTGTGGGACTGAACTGACTGTCAATGAGGCTGGCCGGGAATTATTATTGTTTTTTCTGCAATTTTAGATTTTATCAGCCGAAATGGCGAAAACTCCAAATGTAGTGAAAGGAACTAACAAAGAAGGTTTGGTGGAACATTTAGACAGCATACAGAAAGATCTCATAATTTGTGAGAAAGCTTTAGCAGAGTATTTGGAAACTAAGAGATTGGCGTTCCCTAGGTTCTATTTTGTGTCTTCTGCAGATTTATTGGATATTTTGTCTAATGGAAATCAAGCTGATTTAGTTATCAGGTTAGCGCAAACCTTCTTTAAACTTTTGTATTAATTGTTACAGTAGTTAAGGATGTTTTTAATTCTTTTTAGACACTTAACAAAACTGTTTGATTCGATTGCTAAGCTGAAATTCATTGAGGATCAAAAACCTGGGGAGAAGGTGGCTTCTGGCATGATAGCTAAGGACGGAGAATTGGTTCCCTTTCATGGAACTTGCGATTGTACTGGAGCTGTAAGTCCATAAAAATACTGTTTCTATGTTAGCCACAACCAATAAATCTAAACTAGATATTGAAATTGTATCACTAACAGATAAAACCTAGATGACTGTTCTTATAATCCGCTTCATAATTTTATATATTTTTAATCACAAAATCCCTCTGTAGGTTGAAATCTGGCTGAACAGACTACAAGACATGATGAGATCAACCATCAGACACTACTTCGGAGAAGCAATTGTATCGTATGAAGAAAAACCAAGAGAACAGTGGCTCTTTGATTTCATGGCCCAAGTATCATTATGTGGGTCCCAAATCTGGTGGACTACTGAAGTCAATATGGCCTTTGCGAGACTGGAAGAAGGATATGATAATGCTTTGAAGGATTATTACAAGAAGCAGTTATCTCAGCTCAGTACATTAATTTCGTTACTGATAGGAGAGCTGACGAAGCAAGACAGACAGAAGATCATGACGATTTGTACTATTGATGTCCATTCGAGAGATGTTGTTAGTAAAATGATTCAGGCAAAGGTGGAAGCTGGGTCAGCATTCCAGTGGCAGTCGCAGCTTCGACACAGGTTGGTAATGAATTAATGAGGAGTTTTATGGAACGTATTTCAATCAATTTTGTAATATTTTTGCAACGTGTTGATGCAAAGTTTAGAACCTTTTTGTTCCTGATAGTGATGTGTTCGTAGTTCTCTTTAGCATTACTATGATGCAGATGCAGTCTGAAGTATTATTAAGTCAAAGATGTTTATCAACTATTAAAATTAGGTTAACAAGTCACAGTCCTGTAAACCTGTAATATCTATAACGTATCTCTTACGAACGCATATGTTTCCTGTTAAGTAGCCACATGCGAAAATACAGCGATAATTAATGATCATTTATCAAATTCTTACATTTATGCCAATTAAGTATAAGGATTTGCTTTTGCACGCACATAATTATGATGTAATTATAGATTACGATCTATTCATTTCTATTAATTAATCGAAAATACAAGTTCGAGTTAAACAATACTACAATGCAGCCCACATCACTGCAAGAGTATAGAGAAGCATAAAGAAGTTACAGATTTCTGAGGTTTCTTTAATAGGAGACGAACTGATTGTAGATTATTAGATGTCTCGTGCTCTTATTGACAACTTTCTTCTAAAATACCAATCTCACAATTACTTTGTCCAGAGACCGAACTAAGTAGTTTTGTCTTTTTCGAATCAACTTGTTGTACACAGTATGATTTTTAGAGAAGATTTGATCAAAGAGGACTTCTTTTTCAGATGGGGCGAGAAAGAATATCATTGTTTTGCAAATATATGTGACGCGCAGTTTACATACAGCTATGAATATTTGGGTAACACTCCGAGATTGGTGATTACACCGCTGACTGATCGGTGTTACATCACCCTGACTCAAGTAAGTAGATAATATTATTAACAAAACTAATACTTAAAGAATTATGTGATTATTTATCATCGTCTCCTAGCATGAATTAATATTTTTGCTTTTTCAGTCTCTACATCTAATCATGGGTGGCGGTCCTGCTGGACCAGCCGGTACTGGCAAGACGGAGACAACAAAGGATCTAGGAAGAGCTCTGGGCATCATGGTATATGTCTTTAACTGCTCTGAACAGATGGACTATCAGGTAATTATTTAATACTCTTTTAAATATTATATTTTGCTTCTTTGTTAAGGCATTTATATCTGAACAACATGAATTTAACCAAACAGTTAAAGTACTGTTAATTTTAAAATAATTGTTCGTCCCCAAATTTGTGAATAACGTAGCTATTTGTAACCAATGACGTGTTTCAGTGTCCAACTCCATAATGATTTTAGCTCCTGGCTAATTGTATGACTCAAATCTGCAAGAATCCTTTTTAAGAACATAACTAATATGGATGAAAGTTGCTAAGACCACTTTGCGGTAAATCCGCCTTTGTTCCTAAATAGTTGGAACTAGGTCATTTGCCAATATAAGAAAATAACCTGTCCTAGTATTTCCATAAAGTATTATAGGAAGAAAAGTACTCATTGTACTACTTTGTTGTCTGATTGTCCTCGTGCATTGGTTGAATTAGTCGCAAATGCGACTGCCAAGCAAGGCATCGACATTTCTCAATAGCAGCAGTTTGAAACGGAACCTGCGTATTAAAATAAGCTCTAACTCAAGCCTTATTAGGTACATTGAAACAAGTGAAACAAGTGAAATTATTTCTGCAAATAGGCTACAAGGCAGCACTTTTACACGTCAATTTTATCAAGCTAACGATGAGGTCGACATTTCCTAACTGACTACTCTGAGAAGAAATGCCGAAACAAACTCAGAGGTCTGTCTCTTTTAAAGTCCAGACAATATGTATAACAGATTATGTGTGAGAACCGTGCCAGTTCTTTCTGTAGTGGCCTTTTGAGGAAACAACCACAACAGTTTGAGCGGACCCGTTCTGAAGGCAGTACGCATGTGTCGGTTTACAGTCAGCTCAATTAACAGGTGAGGCGGACTGATTCGACGAACAATACCAACCCAAAGAACATTTGCGTAGGCCGCACAAATACTCAAACTGTCAGAATATGGGTAATTAGAAAAGAAATGGGGAGGCAAAGTCTCGCACGGTCCCAGCACTAACAATTGTAAAATAAAGAACTAACTAAACTAACATTAGACACTAACATGACAAACGGGTGTTATGATTATATGAAGGTGTATAATGCATTAATTAATGGTTCTAACTCCTTCATAATGCATGATTATATTGTATGTATGTATGTTGTTTGTAGTCTTGCGGAAATATCTACAAAGGGCTCGCACAGACGGGTGCGTGGGGATGCTTTGATGAGTTCAACCGAATCTCTGTAGAGGTGTTGTCTGTAGTGGCTGTGCAAGTGAAGTCTGTTCAGGATGCTATCAGGTAATACAATACAAATGTAAGGCAGGTAAATGATAGTATAGAGAACAACTTCATTACCTGGTATAATAACTACTAAATCTTAGGTCGACTTCGAAGTCAACAGACATTTTCACATTTTTAGAAGAAGTACGACGCAAATTGTGAATTAGGGTCTGCTAATTTACTTTTCTTTATTCAGGGACAAGAAAGAAAAATTCAATTTTATGGGAGAAATAATATCACTAACTCCATCTGTTGGTATTTTCATCACAATGAACCCTGGTTACGCCGGTCGTACAGAATTGCCTGAGAATCTAAAGGCTTTGTTCAGACCATGTGCTATGGTCGTTCCAGACTTTGAACTTATCTGCGAGATCATGTTGGTGGCTGAAGGGTTCCAAGAAGCGAAGATCTTGGCTAGAAAGTTCATCACATTGTATACTCTGTGTAAGGAGTTACTGTCAAAACAAGATCATTATGATTGGGGATTGAGGGCTATTAAATCTGTGCTGGTGGTTGCTGGGTCTTTGAAAGTAAGGTGTTAATAGAAAGAAAATCTTACTTTAAGGTAGTTAAGATATAAATTACAGTATGCATTAATCGTTTATTTGAATTCGTTAGAGAGGTGATCCAGGAAGACCTGAAGAAGAAGTACTAATGAGAACTCTCCGTGATTTTAACATACCAAAAATAGTAACAGACGACATGCCAGTATTCATGGGACTTATAGGAGACTTGTTCCCCGCTCTAGAAGTACCAAGAAAACGAGACCTGGAATTTGAACGGACAGTTAAACAGGCAGCAATGGATCTTTCTTTACAACCAGAAGACAACTTCATTCTAAAAGTGGTTCAATTAGAAGAATTACTCGAAGTTCGTCACTCAGTCTTTATAGTCGGTAATGCTGGTACAGGAAAGACTCAAGTATGGAAAACTCTATTCAAAACTTACCAAAATGTAAGAAAGAAACCTATATATAACGATTTGAATCCTAAAGCAGTGACTAATGATGAATTGTTTGGTATTATAAATCCAGCAACTAGAGAATGGAAAGATGGTTTGTTATCTGTAATTATGAGAGACCAAGCCAATTTGGCTGGAGATAATCCAAAATGGATATTACTTGATGGAGACATTGATCCTATGTGGATTGAATCTTTGAACACTGTGATGGATGACAATAAGATCTTGACACTTGCTAGCAATGAGCGTATTGCTTTGACTCCTGTAATGAGGCTGATGTTTGAGATTTCTAATTTACGTACTGCCACTCCGGCTACGGTATCTAGGGCTGGTATTCTATACATCAATGCGCAGGATTTAGGATGGAATCCGTAAGTTCACTTTCATAAACACTTTCTGTAAACATGTTTAAATTTTTGCGTACTTCAATAGATTTTAATAGTCCTTTGTGAACATACTGCATTAACGTCTTGTGATTTCTGTCATGATCTTTTTCAATATCTGTAACGGTTTTCAGATACGTAACAAGCTGGGTAGAAACAAGAAAGATACCAGCAGAGAAGTCTAATCTCGTTGTCCTCTTTGACAAATATATTCCATCTTGTTTAGAGACAGTAAGGACCCGCTTCAAAAAGATTACTCCTATAGTGGACATGGCTCATGTACAGATGCTTTGTCATCTATTGAACTGTCTATTTGTACCGGAGAATACACCGGCTGAATGTCCAAAAGAATGGCATGATATCTTCTTTGTTTTCGCTTGTGTTTGGGCCTTTGGATCTGCTATGTTCCACGAGGGCAGTGTTGATTATAGAATTGGTGAGTATGACTATTAAGAGTATTAGGTTCTTTTATGAGTTTCTATTATCTCATAATTATCACCTTGACTTATGACCGCGGATTTTTTTTATTTTGTTGCTATTGGTGTGAGGATTTGACTATATAGAGTTTAGTTAATGACTTGAAATCGTATCTGCTAATGCTACATTCCCATTGCTCGTGTCTTTTACGTCTTTAATTTCGTTTATAGAATTTTCGAAATGGTGGAATAATGAATTCAAAACTGTGAAATTCCCTCCTGGTGGTACAGTATTTGATTACTACATAGACCATGATACAAAGCAGTTCACTCCCTGGACTGAGAAGATTCCAAAGTTTGAACTGGACACTGATGTTCCTTTGCAGGTAAGCTACATACTTTTTTGAAAAAGACAAAGAGCACGTAGTACGGAATCTTCAGCCGAACGAATGTCACCCCTACTTGTTCTTACAGGTGGTTTTTTTATAATTCTAGGCTGTTTTGGTGCCAACAGCGGAAACTATAAGAGTTAGGTTTTTCCTAGATTTGCTGATGAAAAATAAGCACCCAGTAATGTTAGTGGGCAGCGCTGGTTCTGGCAAAACTGTTCTCGTCAATGAAAAGTTACAAGGGTAAGGAATTTGATGGATCTTCAATTTATGCAAATAGTTAAAGGGTTTTTGCGATACGTTCCTAAACTTCGGTAGATAAAAGCGCGATTGTTAAAAAGCAATTTTCTTTCAACAGATTATCAGAAGCTTATGCCATACAATCAGTGCCATTCAACTTCTACACGTCATCAGAGATGTTGCAGAAGATTCTAGAAAAACCTTTAGAGAAAAAAGCTGGTAGGAATTACGGTCCACCGGGGAATAAGACTCTAGTGTACTTCATAGATGACATGAATATGCCTGAAGTAGATGCTTATGGGACGGTGCAGCCCCATACGATTATCCGTCAACATATGGACTATGGGCATTGGTATGACCGTACCAAATTATCCTTGAAAGATATCCACAACACCCAATACGTGTCTTGCATGAACCCCACTTCAGGCAGTTTCACTATAAACCCAAGGTTGCAGAGACATTTCTGCGTGTTTGCTATCAGTTTTCCCAATACTGAAGCTCTGAATAATATCTATCATTCGATTTTGAGTCAGCATCTTATCAATCCGGAGTTGAGGATCAATCCGCAGATAGCAAAATTGTCGAGTAAGTAAAATCAGTTTTCCATATACTTTTGATAAACTTAATTAAATGAGGCGATGAAAAATAAATAATTGGAAGAAAATGCATCAAATATGGAGTAAGAAATATTAATATTGATGGGAATGAAGATCAGTACGGATTGTGATCAATCTTTTTGTTTGAACATTTCATTTTGAATAGGAGTTTAATATGATGTATATTTTTCAGCGAATGTGGTGCAGGCGACAATTACTTTACACAACAAAATATCTCAAGTGTTCTTACCGACTGCAATCAAATTCCACTACATATTTAACCTCCGGGATCTATCTAATGTCTTCCAGGTAAACTTGTTTTATTAATTTTAATTTTTCGTTATCGGTCTATTTAATGCATCGTCTTGGGTTCATATCGTCATTTTATAAACGTTTTAGTGTTCAAATGTTCAAAATGAAAACTCAAACCACAATTAATATCAACCTACTTGCATATAATGAAGGTGCACTTATCCCTATACAATGATTTAAATGAAACCGCTAACAATTTTCAGGGTTTCCTGTTCAGTACAAATGAATGTATAGAGAATACGTCAGACATACTACGGTTGTGGCTGCATGAGACCAGTCGTGTGTACGGCGATAAGCTGACTGAAGAAAAAGATATCGATGCTTTCCTCAAAGTTCAAGTTGATATCTGTAAGAAGAATTTTGAGGTAACATTTTTTATGTTATTGTTGCTGGTGTTGATAAAAAATAAAAATGTAGGGGAGTAGGGTCTCTCCCTACATTTTTATATTTTATCAACACCTGCTGCTGTACATACATATATAGTATACCATTTTCCATGATTAGAAAGCTTCCTACGCTGTTAGTCAATAGTTTAGTCAATTCCATATTTCAAACATGCCTGCTATGATCTTTCTTATCACCCAAAACTATCTTATTATTTTTAGTTCAAATTAAGCTTTTAAATTTACTTCATTGAAGGTTGCCTTCATTGGCAATTTTAAAACAATCGAGTTAAAATCACTTTGCATTTTGATAGCGTATTCATCAAGAAATGTGTAAAAGTTTCACTGGACAAAACAAAACGCTGTAGTTCCTATAATACATTACCATTTTATATTCTTTATAGGACATCGACGAAGGCGTAGTATTCGAACGACCGAACATCTACTGCCATTTCGCTGGCGGTATTGGTGAGCCGAAGTACATGCCCATATTATCATGGGAACAGTTGAATAAGTTGCTGACTGAAGCCATGGCGAGCTACAACGATCTCATCGCTGCTATGAACTTGGTGCTCTTTGAGGATGCTATGATGCATATTTGCAGGTACGGTCTAGCTATTTTTGTTGTTCTTTTAAAATGGAGAGTGAGATTCCGAGAACAGGTTAAGCGTTTTATGAAGTCTACCTAATAATACATTTAAATACCGTCACATGAAATTTTTATACTTTGTGTAAAATATATATCGTTGCAGATACTAATGTTTCATCAAAATTTCTACCACTTTGATAAATTTTTCAGTCATGTAAATTGATTTCCTTTTTAGAATTTCTCGTATCCTCGAAAGTCCTAGAGGTAGTGCTTTACTGGTTGGTGTAGGTGGTTCTGGTAAACAGTCACTGTCTCGACTAGCAGCTTTCATATCCAGTTTGGAAGTGCTACAAATACAGCTGAAAAAGGGATATGGAGTGTCAGATTTGAAGGTAAGAAAAGTAACAGGAGACAAACGTTGTGTTCGGTGGTTGCAGTAATTGACTTATAGCTTTAGTGGTTTAATACTTACTTAGACCGAAGTAATGAATAGCCTAATTATAGTTGAATACTACTTAATGTGAACCAATTTTAAGTGGTAGACAAAGAAGTACTATTTTCAAAACATTCTTTACTGTCTCCATTCTGGCGCCCAACGTGGGACTTTACGTATCACTAACATTTTCCTTGTGCGCTATTTTTCATTTTTGACGCCCACCATGAGACTTGAAGTCACTGTTTTATTTCAAATTGTGATATTGATTTTTAGAATGAATTATCTCAATTATACATAAAAACTGGTCTGAAGAACGTTGGCATAATGTTCTTGATGACGGACGCTCAAGTAGCCAATGAACAGTTCTTGGTTCTGATCAATGATTTGCTGGCATCTGGTGAAGTTGCTGATCTATTCCCTGATGATGAGATGGAAAATATTATTGCTGGTGTGAGGAATGAGGTAAGCCTTTTGAATCTGCAAATTCAAATTTCTTTATTGTGGATCACTGGTTTATACATTATACTGGTCTTATATTTATATATGCTAAGAATTGCATAAAAAAAAACAGTTTATTTTTTTATCGAGTAGTAGGTACGTGATACAATATTGCTTGTGTCATTTGTTTTTGTGTTGCATGAAGAGTAGTTAGCCAAATTAAATACCCATTGTAAAGGCCAACAGTGGTGGTGACTAATACTAGCAGAATAAAAAATAACAGTTTTAGTTGACTGGTAATTAATGTGTAAAGCGATGAGTAAGACATACATATATTCTAGAAAATTCTTTCCGTCTAGGTAAAAGGTGCAGGCTTACCAGACACAAGAGAAACATGCTGGAAATTCTTTATAGACAGAGTTCGTAAACAACTGAAAGTGGTTCTTTGTTTCTCTCCTGTGGGCTCCACTTTGAGAGTGCGATCTAGAAAGTTCCCCGCGTTGATTAATTGTACGTCAATTAACTGGTTCCACGAGTGGCCCCAGGAAGCTTTGGTGTCTGTCGCCATGAGGTTCTTGGAGGAACTCGATAATCTACCGGTAATTATTGAAACTTCATTACAGTGTTCACTTTTAAAAATAATATTTTATGCCAATGTTCTGTGGTTCATAGATTCTAAAGTTTAAAATATTTATTCTTATTGGTTCAATCATTGAGTTTGTTCAAGATTTCAATGTTTCAATTATTGAATCAATATTTGGCAATGGTTTAAGTACTTTGTTGTGGAAATTTATGTTATCTCTCTTCATCTCCTTCTTTGGGATCATAGAATTTTGAACTCTTTCACATTAATTTGTATTATTTAATTATTTTTCGTGATTTCATTACCAGTAAGTTAAGAAATTTGACCTCTTTTTCTTTACCATTTTGAATTTTCTCTGTAGGTAACGCTCCGAGACTCAATATCCAGATTCATGGCATACGTCCACACTTCAGTTAACACCATGTCTAAAGCATACTTAGCCAATGAGAGGAGGTATAACTACACGACACCCAAGAGTTACCTCGAACAAATCAGCTTGTATGCTAAACTGGTCAATAATAAAACTGATGAACTACGCGCAAAAATTGTTAGGTAAGTTACAAATGAATAGTTTTTCTAAAATTGGGTCATCTTCCTTTTCATAGTTTCTGTTCCCTGATTCAATTTCTTATGACGACCTTTGTTATCGGTTTCCTTATGAAAATAGGCAGCTCCAGTAGTTCGCCATTGAGTAGTTGATTGCTTTCAAGCATTTTAAATTTCTGTAAAAGATAATATGTTAGATATTATATTCTACTCATTTTGTTTTCATAGATTGGAAAATGGTCTCGAGAAGCTCCGCAGTACATCATGCCAAGTAGACGCACTAAAGGAAAAGTTAGCAGTGCAAGAAATAGAGCTACATCAAAAGAATGAAGCAGCTGACAAACTTATTGAGATGGTCGGCGTTGAAACTGCTAAAGTACAGAGCGAGAAGGCACTTGGTAAGATTTCAACTTGTTGATAAAATACAGACACCGCAGCACGTCTAGCTATCCAAACTGAACTATTTTGTTTAGCAGATTAGAACCTTAGTTATGTCATCAGTAAAGTTGACAATCTTCTACAAATATTTTACAGTTTGGGCTAACTTGATTTATTGATGTCGGAGTTATAGGACAGGAAGTAATTTTGACTGCACGGTTGGTGCGGTGGCTGGGCAACTGGCTGCCGTGCAACGTGTCGCGGGTTCGATTCCCGCACGGAACAACACTTTGTGTGATCCACAAATTGTTGTTCCGGGTCTAGGCGTCATTGTGTATGTGAACTTGTATGTTTGTAAACGCACCCACGACACAGGAGAAAATCCAAGTGTGGGGGCAACGTGTTATTTAAAAAAAAAAAATTAAAATAATGTAATGATCTTTTTAGCGGACGAGGAGGAGGAAAAAGTAGCAGTGATAGCTGAAGAGGTATCTAAGAAGCAGAAAGATTGTGAGGAAGACTTGATAAAAGCAGAACCAGCGCTAGTAGCAGCTCAGGAAGCTTTGAACACTTTGAATAAAGCTAACCTTACTGAGTTGAAGTCTTTCGGTTCACCACCTGGAGCCGTGACTAATGTTACTGCTGCTGTGATGGTGTTACTTGCTCCTGGAGGAAAAATACCTAAGGATAGGAGCTGGAAGGCTGCCAAGGTGTGTATGATTATTAGGAATGTGACATGTGATTGTATGCATATGTCATTGGTCTGGTCTTAGTGATATCAAAATTAACCAGTAAGTACATATAGTATTGTCATGGTCTCACTTTGTAAGAAAAGTAGTTCTCCGTATTTCTACCGTTTACTTCTCCTTGCTGTTTTTCTCTACTCATTTTACTGCTTCGTTAAAAATTCTTTGCTTGCTTAAGTTTCCTGGACTGCCCTACTTTTAAAATCTATTTTATTGGATTAAGTATTTGTATTTAATTTTGTAAACTTGTTGGTTCTATATTCTAAACTTCTATAGGTGGTCATGGCAAAAGTGGACGTGTTCCTTGAGTGTCTTATAAATTATGACAAAGAAAACATCCATCCTGATGTCATAAAAGCTATCCAACCATACTTGAAGGACTCCGAATTTGAACCAGGTATATTTCACAAACACTACTACCTTGAGTTTAAGTCCTTAAATCAATCTAAAGAAAACCATAAACTTTATTTCTAGAGTTCGTAAGATCAAAATCGGCTGCAGCTGCTGGTCTTTGCGCTTGGGTCATCAACATTATAAAGTTTTATGAAGTGTTCTGTGATGTTGAGCCCAAAAGAAAAGCTCTTGCGGCTGCTAATGCAGAGTTGGCAGCTGCTACTGAAAAATTGAGATCTATTAAAGCCAAAGTTGCCGTAAGTATTGTGCAAACTATAAACTGTAATATCATTTTTTATCGGACTATTTGAAATTACAAAATGATATTTTCTTTCCTTTCTTAGGCGCTCGAAGAGAAATTAGCAACACTGACAGCAGATTTTGAGAAAGCAACTTCAGAGAAGATGAAATGTCAGAAAGAAGCAGATGCAACGAATGCGACGATCCAACTTGCTAACAGATTGGTTAACGGTCTTGCTAGTGAAAATGTCAGATGGGCTGAAGCTGTTTCTAGGTAAATAAATAATTATTTGCAAATGTTCTAAAGAACTAAAACTATATTAATTATTTTGTCCTCGAGATTTTTAACTGCCATTATGTTGTTACTGTTTTTGATTTTCAGTCTCATGCAACAAGGCACAACTCTACCAGGAGACGTGTTACTAGTCTGTGCTTTCATTTCATACGTGGGATGTTTCACCAAGCAGTTCAGATTAGATTTGATGCACAAAAACTGGCTGGTCTTCTTGAAGACCTTAGAGGTATGTATAAGCAAAAAATTTGCATTAGTAGTATTGAATTTGAAACGATTTTATATTTTGTTTCTGTCCTTTTAATAAATTGATGATTAGAGTATTTAATCAAGTCTTCTTACATTAATATATTTCATCTTGTTCTTCGTTGTATTAATTTTACTTTTCACCTTTTAGCCGCCTATCCCAATAACAGAAGGTCTGGATCCACTGACAATGTTAACAGATGATACCACAATAGCAATGTGGCAGAATGAAGGATTACCGTCTGATCGTATGAGCACTGAGAACGCAACGATTCTATCTAACTCTGATCGGTGGCCGCTTATGATAGACCCTCAAGTAAGTAGACATATTTTATAAGACCGATCTTTCATGTTAATTCCTTAATAAAGTTTTCAATTTCATTATTACCAAGTATTCTGAAATTTACGCCAGTAATACCAAATTCTACTTCGACAGCCTGTCTGTGTCTACTTCTTGTGATAGAAATTAACCTTATCCTGCTCCTGTTTTTTAATCATTCCTAATTTTATACATGCATTTACGAAAAGTACAATTATAATCGTCATTCAAGATTCATTTATCGAATTTATATATTCTGTTTTTATCTATAAACTTTTAGTTACAAGGTGTGAAATGGATAAAACAGAAGTACGGAGACAAGTTACGAGTGATTAGATTAGGACAAAGAGGTTATTTGGACACGATTGAGAAAGCGATAATAAAGGGAGAGACTGTTCTGTTCGAAAACATTGGTGAGACCGTGGATCCTGTCCTTGATCCTTTGTTGGGAAGAACCCTGATCAAGAAAGGAAGGTGGGAACTCAATATGTTATTTAACTCCTTGTGCATATTATTCAATGTTTTCTGTTTTGTAACCTTTATCGCTTCTAAGCCATAATATGACTGGTAATTTTCTTTCGTTTTCAAAACCCTTTCTGTTCAAAATTATTTCCGTTCATCAAACACTTATTGATTTCTTAACTTACAGAGCAATTAAAATAGGAGACAAAGAAGTTGAATACAGTCCAAACTTCAGACTAATTCTACATACAAAATTAGCTAACCCACATTACAAGCCTGAGATGCAAGCTCAAACGACTCTAGTCAACTTCACAGTAACTCGTGATGGTTTAGAAGATCAACTGCTAGCAGAAGTAGTAAAAGCAGAAAGACCAGATTTAGAAGATTTGAAAGCAGAGCTAACTAAACAGCAGAATCAGTTTAAGATCCAGTTGAAGTCGTTAGAAGATGATTTACTATCAAGGTTATCTTCAGCTGGTGATGATATCCTTGGTGATACGGCCTTAGTAGAGAACTTGGAGACTACTAAGAAGACTGCTGCTGATATTGAGAAAAAGGTGAGATCCATACATTTTGACAAACTATCACAATTTATCGCTTTAGTAAAATAATTTTTGGTTTAGTAACACCTTCTACTTTGTATATTAACTTGTAACTCAATGTATTTCTCTTAGGAGGTGATAATACAAATAATGTCCTACAAAATTAAGCCTGTGGTCCCTAGTCCCAAAAACTGCTAGTTATCGAAATATTCAATATTTTTGGTTTTCGTCAAAAATACCGAACTAACTACAAAAGCATCAATGAATATAAAACTACTGGTTTGATTTAAATTGTTTTAGTTTTTATCAGTTGTCAATGTCAATACATCGTTGAACATAATAATACTAATACTGGCATAAAATAACAAGTAGCATATTCTTATCTTTTGTTTTGAGTCATTTGGTCAATAGATTTACTCTAAAAATCGACATTAGGTACATTACAGATTGGGAAAAGCGCTACGATATTTAAGAAAGGATTAATTCAAGGACGATACATGACACCATGACATACTAATACCAATTTAAACGGTCAGTAATCATTAAAATAAGAAAAAAGTAACCTTAATTACCGACTAACACAATTACCAAGTATTAAGATAATGTATCAGTATAAGCCGATAATTAGGATTAGGATTATTGGATTAATAAAAGAAAACAAATTATATTGTGGTCATAAATCTTATACGTATTTTACTACCTACGCCCGCGCGGTTTCACCCACTGCTCGACTCCAAGCAATCAGCCGGATGTTTTATAACCTCAAAATAAAAATTGATAAAAATGTACTTGCCTTTAAAATGAATGACATCTCTGTCTGTATTAGTATTGATAAATGTTTACTGATGTATTGGCGACTGATAAAAAGATAATTTAGATTAAACCAGCAGGTTTTTATTTATTGAAGTTTTTGTAGGTTCAGGATTTTTGACTTAAACCAAAAATATTGAATATCTCAATAACTAGCCACTTTTGGGAATAAGGACATTAGGGCTAATTTTGTAGGAAATTATATGTATTATCACATTTCAAGAGGAATAGGTCGAGTTACAAATCACCCTGTATATTCCTTCGATGGTGACTACGATTAAGCCTCATTTTCTTCTTCTGTTAAACAATTGACTTAATCTTTGTGATTATCATATTTTCGGTATATATTATATTTCTAAAACGTTACTCTAATTATCATAGGTGGCTGAAGCAAAAATAACTTCCCGCGAGATTGATGTAGCTCGTGAATTCTACAGACCGGCCTCAGCAAGAGCGTCGTTATTGTACTTCATTCTGAACGATCTTAATACTATCAACCCTATCTACCAGTTCTCTCTTAAGGTACAATTAATTTCTATCAGTCCATAGAAACTGGGCTATCAATAAAAATTTGTATGATTCACTAATGTATTATCATTTTTAGGCATTTAGCGTAGTATTCCAAAAGGCGATATCTCGTGCGGAGCCTGCAGATGAACTTGGTGCTAGAATCAAAAACCTTATTGATTGCATCAGCTTTTCAGTGTATCAGTACACTTCTCGTGGATTGTTCGAATGTGACAAACTTATATTTGCTTCACAGATGACTTTCCAGGTAAGCAGTAAAGTAGTCTGTAAATTACAAAAATAATAGAATCATTTATCAAATTATCATTGGGCAGTATGCCTCGAGTCCAAAACTCAACTTACATTTTAATTGACATATTTTGTACCATTCTAGGTACTTCTCATGAGTGAAGAAGTATCGTCAGTGGAATTAGACTTCTTTCTCCGGTTTCCTATAAAACCTCATGTGACTAGTCCTGTAGACTTCTTATCGAACCACAGCTGGGGAGGTATTTGCTCTCTGGCTGGTAAAGAAGAGTTCAGGAACTTGGATAGAGATATTGAGACGTCACCTAAACGGTGGAAGAAGATTGTTGAAGTAGAATGTCCTGAACGGGAGAAGTTTCCTCAGGTATGACTTTATTTTAGTTAATGAAGAGTATCTAATGGAGACTATAAGCATATATTATCATCCGCAGGTTGTAGTGTGACACGAAGAATACCTTCACTTATTTCTCGTAATATTTTTTTTAATTAGACGAATATAATAGTACAGATTCTTTAAATCTAATGGTTTTTAAAATAGATGAGGTTTTACTAGGAGTTATATCATAAATTCATTTCAGGAATGGAAAAACAAACCAGCTCTTCAGCGTCTTTGCATGCTAAGAGCATTAAGACCGGACAGAATGACGTATGCTGTAGCGTAAGTACATATATCATTCACAACAAAATCTTATTAAACTCCTTGGAAAGCAATAGCCTTACCAATTTCATTATTTCTAGAGCATATATTGAGGAAAAAATGGGCGCTAAATATGTTGAAAATAGGACAGTGGAGTTTAGTAAGTCGTTTGAAGAGACTAGTCCGACTACACCGATATTCTTTATTCTATCTCCTGGTGTAAATCCGTTGAAGGACGTGGAAGCCTTGGGCAAGATCATGGGGTTCACGGCCGATAATGGGAACTTCCATAATGTGTCTTTGGGTCAGGGGCAAGAGATAGTGGCTGAACAGGCGATGGATATAGGTTTGCAGAAAGGACATTGGGTGGTGTTACAGGTAGAATATACTTTGAATGAATTTCGTTATTAGGTACATACATTTATTTTCTCATGTTGATCTCTCATTGACTAGTTTCATCCAATATAAGCTGTTCGAAATTACAATATTAAACCTTATGGTCAATCATTATTCTCCTTAATTCGTTATATAATTTCTCACTTTAACTCTTCTTCCAGAACATTCATTTAGTAAAGAAATGGCTGCCAAGTCTGGAGAAGAAGATGGAGAGCTTTGCAAACGGTTGTCATGATGATTTCCGTCTATTTATGTCAGCTGAACCAGCAGCTACTCCTGCAGCTCACATCATACCTCAGGGTATACTGGAGTCCAGTATTAAAATCACTAATGAACCGCCTACTGGCATGCAGGTTGGTAGATTGTGTAAACGGAAGGATTATGCTTCATTAATCTTAATATACGAACGTCACCAAAGACATTAGAGTATCAGTGTTACTATTTCTGTGGACATTAATAAAGCTGACTAAGGGATTGGGGAAGTTTTAAAATCCTAAATCTATTAGTTATAGAAAAATCAAATTAAATTATTTTGCATTTCAGGCTAACATTCACAAAGCTCTAGATAATTTTAACCAAGAGACTTTAGAGATGTGTGGCAAGGAGGCTGAGTTTAAAGCGATACTGTTTGCTCTCTGTTACTTCCACGCCGTGGTCGCTGAGAGACGCAAGTTTGGACCTCAGGGCTGGAACAAAATTTATCCTTTTAATGTTGGCAAGTACTTTTTAAAGTTGTAACTCGGTAACCTCACTCATATTGTAAACACTACCCAAGCTTTGCAGCAGCCAGTTGTAATTCAATACGATATTTTTGTGTTCTTTTACATAATATAACATGACGCCTTTTATCCCCGAAGGGGTAGGTAGAGATACACATTATGTCACTGTACAATGTGACACCCACTTTTCACTATTTATGTTATGAGTCCCATGTAATACGGCGTGAGCCTATTGCCGGGCACAATTCCAGTCTCCGTGCTACTACTGATAATTTTTTAAAAACCTAGTAATACTTTGCCCGACTCGGGAATCAAACCCGAGACCCAAGAGTTGTTTTTATCTAACACATATACTCTGTAGAATGATGAAATAACTCGGTACAGAGGGTTCTTTTCGTTTTAGGTGATTTGACAATAAGCGTATTTGTCTTGTACAACTATCTGGAAGCGAATGCGAGAGTACCTTGGGAAGATCTAAGGTACTTATTCGGAGAGATCATGTATGGAGGACATATTACTGACGATTGGGATAGAAGACTCTGCAATGCGTACTTGGAAGAATTGATGCAGCCTGATCTAGTAAGTGACATTATGATACGACGACGGTAGGATACGTAATGACTTCTTTATATTCGTTCAACTTGAGACAGGTTGTAAATCTTCATGCGCAGTTTTCTAAAAAGAGGAGTTATAACGATGTGTATACTTAGTTCTTACACTAAAAATCACAAAAAGGAAAATCGCTACTTTCTTTTACGAATAACTATTTCATAACATTTTGTATGAAACCTTATATTCTAGCTTTCCGCCGAAAATAAATAATATTATAGTGCTGTCATAATAAACTAGGTCAGAGAGATAAGGTTAGAAAAAAATTTGCGCTATCTACACAAAATCTTTACCAACAGGTAGACGGTGAGTTGCAACTAGCTCCAGGGTTCCCAGCTCCTCCCAACACAGACTATGTGGGCTATCACCAGTACATAGAAGACGCCATGCCAGCAGAATCTCCCTACCTCTACGGCTTACATCCTAACGCTGAGATCGGTTTCCTCACGACTACTTCTGAAAACCTCTTTAGAACCATATTTGAAATGCAGCCGAGAGATGCTCAAGCTTCTGGTGCAGCTACCGTTACTAGAGAGGATAAGGTATGTTTTCGCTTGATTTTGTCAAACATTTTCTAATTTTATTATGGTGATCTTCTTTTGTTCCGTATGAAGTGCCACGGAGCTTGTCTGTGGCTCCTACTTATGAGCAGGACTATCTTTTCTCTTGTTAGATATTTCGATACCCATTGACACGTAGGTAACTCATGAGTCATGATAGTGTTTTATGATTATTTAGATTCCCGTATCAGTTGAATAAAAAGGAAAACTGTTCATTGTACGAATAAAGAAATGGCGTCTCACCTTAGAAGAAAAAGATAGATGTTTTTGTAAATGCCTCCCTCTGCCTCGTTGGCCGAGTGGTCGCAAGTGCGACTGCCAGGCGAGAGGTCTCAGGTTCGATTCCCGGGTCGGGCAAAGTATTACTGGGTTTTTAAAAATCTCAGTAGCAGCACGGAGTCTCGAAATGTGCCCGGTTAAAGGCGGCTAAAGGCCCGGCAATAGGCTCACCCCCTATTACATGGGACTCATAACATAAATAGTGAAAAGTGGGTGTTACATTGTACAGTGGCATTTAGTGCCGAAATGTGCACCTCTGCCTACCCCTTGAAACCCCTAAAAAGGCTTGATGTTATTATATGTTATGTTTTTGTAAATGGTGGAAATGATGATTTCCGTTTGCTTCCGTCATGTTTCGATGCCTTCGATGATATAAGATATATATAGGATACGTTTCAGGGATTCAATCTATAACTTTGTATTTTTATCATACAGGTAAAACAAATGTTAGACGAGATAATAGAGAAGTTGCCAGAAGAGTTTAACATGACGGAAATAATGGGGAAGGTTGAGGAGAGGACGCCGTATGTGATAGTGGCATTCCAGGAGTGTGAGCGGATGAACTATCTTACGGGAGAAATGAAGAGGTCGCTTAGAGAATTGGACTTGGGACTTAAGGTGAATAATCTAATACAAATTTCTACTCACAGCTTTTGTAGAGTAAAGATTTAAATTCTACAAAACATTTCTGTCTCATCAAAAGCGTTAAAAATGATTTAGTAATTACATCTTTTCTGCATTTTAGGGTGAATTAACCATCACATCGGATATGGAAGATTTGGAAAATGCTTTGTTCTTAGACCAGGTAAGGTGAAAGAAAAACAACAATAATATAACATAACATAACATAACATCACGCCTTTTATCCTCGAAGGGGTAGGCAGAGGTGCACATTATACCACTGTACAATGTAACACCCACTTTTCACTATTTATGTTATGAGTCCCATGTAATAGGGGGTGAGCCTATTGCCATATACCGGGCACAGTTCCAGACTCCGTGCTACTACTGAGAATTTTTTTAAAACCCAGTAATACTTTGCCCGATTCGGGAATCGAACCCGAGACCCCTTACCCGGCAGTCACAATTGCGACCACTCGGCCAACAATAATATTTAGGTACTAAAGTTGATTTCATAATTTATTGCATACTACTTATTTTGCGGAACGAAGAACCAGTTACTAAAACAGAAGTAGATATAAGTATTGGTTTACTTACCAGGTGCCAGCGATCTGGTCTAGTCGTGCGTACCCATCGTTGCTAGGTCTCTCTGCCTGGTTCGTGGACCTTACGCTAAGATTACGAGAACTTGAAACGTGGGCTACAGACTTTGTGGTAAGTTCCGATAATTCATTTGTTTTAAAGGCAGTTTCGTTGTAAATCACACGTAATGTATATATAAATAGGCTTGTTTTATGACATAACATCACGCCCCGAAGGGGTAGGCAGAGGTGCACGCAGAAGTCACTTTTCACTATTTATGTTATGAGTCCCATGTAATAGGGGGTGTGCCTATTGCCATATACCGGGCACATTTCCAGACTACGTGCTATTACTGAGATTTTTTTTAAAACCCAGTTATACTTTGCTCGACCTTGCCCCCCCTTTGAGACCCCTTGCCCGGCAGTCGCACTTGCAACCACTCGGCCAACGAGGCAGTCATGTGCTTTATGACCTTAGAACGATTACTGACATAGAAGTGTTGAAACCTTTCTGAAACGAAAGCTGGATAATATGGTATATGTGGGGAACGATATGAAAGAGAGAAAGGAATGATGTGATGATGTTTGATAGGGTAAAATAGAAGAAGTTCCGTTCTGTAACTTGAGTTAAGGGCGGGAAATAGAAGACTAGGTTTAAAACTTTTCTAAAACAAGGCTAGTATTAAAACTTTTTTATTGGACCGTAAAGATTTTTATATTTAATGGGCAGACGTTTGACCACTATCTCACCTGGTGGTAAGCGATGATGCGGCCTATGATGGAGCACGCCTGTCCATAAGCAACCTATTCACTCGGGCCTTGAAGAGTATTATAATATTTTTCTTTCTTTAGCTACCAGCATCAGTATGGTTGGGTGGTTTCTTCAACCCTCAAAGCTTACTGACTGCCATCATGCAGAGTACAGCACGCAAGTATGAACTACCTCTTGACAAGATGTGCTTGCAGTGTGACGTCACCAAGAAGATGAAAGAAGAATTCACGTAAGTATTTATTTATAGTAAAAATATATTTTAAAATGGATTTCAATATGATTTTTTGTCATGTTTTTATAATAACTATCGTGAGACATACTAAATTAAGTAAAATCGCGAGTTACTCACGTGAATATACTGAGACTGCAGCGTGCGCGACGTCGCCGCTACCGCGCACGCACACGAAGAAGAACCCCTCTGTGGTTCGAAACTAGTAGAGCTTTTCTCAGTATATTCACGTGAGTAACGCGCGATTTCACTTAATGATTTTTTGTCATTGAAAAAATTACTTTTCTTTACAAATAAATCTGTGGACGATTGATTTGGATTGTGGCACATTTGGCATACACATTCGGATTCCTATTTTAATCACAAAATTTTCGATTTAATTCATGGAATGATTTGGGTTGTCTTTTATAATCTCACACAAGGCAAGGCTGTGTTTTACATTTTTATTGTTATGAATGGTATCCATAATTTAATATCTTATATACATATCTTCATCATTTTCTACTTTTCATAGGTACTGGTGAGTAACAACGCCCTTTGAATTGGAATACTAAGTACATTTTAAATTCAATGCCTTTCTTGCATATTGTACAAAAACAATTGGCTGATTATAATAATATTAAACGGAACACGCATGACTATATGAGAAGCACATGAGTAATTTTATATTAATGTACAGTTTGTAATAATGTCGACTATAGAGCTATCTAAAACATAATGTATCAGATTTTAAGCCTTCTCTTCTTCTGTCGCTTTGGTAGCATTTCTCTTCTTACGGCTAGGTATTTATTACAACGGGTATATAATGTAAATACTTTAACTTTGTTGTATATATATGTTTTAGAATATAGGCTTTATAAAATCTCCTTTTTGGAACGATCGATGTTTTTCTATGCTTCGCTTCGCGTCTCTAAAAATGTAATGAAATGCTTTTATGTCGCGATAATAAAGGTTTACGGGACTGCCTTAAGTTGCCTAAGTTTTGATGTTCGCATCTTGTTGTTCCGTAACTTGATAATCGTAAAATATGATTTTTGATGTACTTAATGTTATGGAAAATCTTATACTATTATATAAAGCGGAAGAGTTTGTTTTTTGTTTGTTTGTTTGAACGCGCTAATCTCTGTAACTACAAGTCTGATTTGAATAATTCTCGTTGTGTTAGATAGTGCATTTATCGAGGATGGCTATAGGCTATAAAATATTGCGCTACGACCAATAGGAGCTGAGAAGAGCGTGTGAAACCGCGCGCCCGCGCGGAAGTAGCTAGTTAAATATACACGGTGATATTTTAATGGTTGTTTTCCCACAGTAAAATGATTCTATTTTAGTAGTACAATAGATTGAGAAAGTTGTTTTTAATTTAAATAAAAAAATAGCAGTTTTACGATAGTGATACACGAAACTTGAAAGAAACCGCGAACCAATAGTACCGCCGCGACCGGCCACCGGCCGCTGTCATTGTCGCTCGCGCTTATCAAAAGGCTGATAACTCAGTATTTACTAACAAGTGATTTCCATTTTCCCTTCATACTTTAACGGGCTTAGGACCGTCGTAAATACTTTTTAACTACACTTACTAAACACAAACATAAAACAAAATTTAATCAAGAGATATTATCTTGTTTATTACTGAATTTGGGAAAGTATTTATGGCGTATTTAAAAAATGGGAATCAACGTATTTACAATGATTTTAATCACCTATCTTATTGTTTTATTTACAAATGTACAAGTACTTACACTTCCCGGTAACGGAGCAATTGTTCAAAGTGTAAGCCACCGCGTTCCACACACAATCGTGCACGTTTTAACTGATTGGCTTTCAATTTTAATAATGTGTCTCTGTCACGTCTAATCACATCAAAAGCGTCCACTATCGCACTTTTTAACGCGTCGCGAGTTTCGTACTCTTGCCGATACACAAGGCGTTTGAGATTAGACCACAAATAAAAGTCTAGTGGAGTAAGATCCGGGCTTCGTGGTGGCCATGGCACTGGCCCGCCACGACCGATCCAACGCTGGGGAAACACCGAGTCGAGGTGCTCTCGCACGGCGCGCTGATAATGCGCAGGGCAACCATCGTGCTGGTAATACAGGCCATCCATGGGCACTGCTAACGGAATGTCATCTAGTAAGTCCGGGATAACACTACGTAGCATTTGTAGGTACGTTTCACCGGTTAAGTGTCCTGTCACAAAATGCGGACCAATTAAGCAGCCGTTTATTATACCGGCCCACACGTTTACACTAAACCGCACTTGATGCGCACATTCCCGAATAACGTGTGGGTTATTAAAAGCCCAAAAATCATAATTCGCCCTCGCGTACAATTGCACCATAGCTACGTACTCCACATTTTTAGAAAAAACGTAATGGCGATCCATTTTGGCGGCAATAATATTGTACTGCGCTTGCGTGGTTGCGCGGACGGCGTTCGCGGTGCGACTGGTGTGAATGAAAGCGATGCGAGGCGATGCGGGCCGATGCGAGTGACAGAGAGCGCGGTGGTTGCCTTTGTTGTTTGTCGTGAGGCGATCCGCTCGCGCGCGCGTGCATTGCAGTTTATGCTGTATTACTTAGTCCGAGAGATTATTTTACTATGAACATTGATTTGACGTCACATTTTAGAAGAGAAACTATTGTTTCTCATGCTTTCGAGTTGATGATTATTTTTTTGAGTATATGAGGAGAAAAAACATTATTTTTTCAAAAAGTAACTTGCATTATTCGATAGTACTACTAAAGGGAAATCGTTCTGCTGCGGGAAAACAACCATCAATATGTCAGCGTGTATTTAGGTAGGTATTATGATTAGTTATGTTCTTTAATAAAATTCTAAATAATTTTTCATGTGTACATTTTTGTAAATATTATACTAAGCTTCTAACTCATTAGTCATTAGGTATTATACGCTTTTGTGTAAATAGGTATATATAATAATAAGTTAATTTTATGACTTAGTGATTTGTATATATTCATTCCCATACTATCACCACCATAGGATGATACTTTGGTCTTTAATTCGAATAAAATCAATTTTATGAACTTTTTTGCAATATATGTGTTTAAAAAAAATTATAACTCTGGAAAGACCGCATAGTAAAGAAATCTTTTTTATTATATTAGTTATTGTCAGGGAAAAATATATGAGTAAATAAAATGAAACACAAATGAAAAATCATGAAAATGGCACCTGAGCCAGAACGGCTCCGAATAAAATTGAACTGAAAACTAAAGTATCATCCATAACTAATTCCTCTAGATACCTCTCTAACACGAGCATTTCTCTAGGATCGCCGACACCAGGTCAGCACCACGCGATGGTGCCTTTGTTCATGGTCTCCTAATGGAAGGAGCTCGCTGGGACCAGCAAGCTGGCATTATAATGGACTCTAAGCTTAAAGACCTGTTTCCTCCGATGCCTGTTATAAATGTTCGGGTAAGCTGAATAAATTATTATAAGTGTCATGGTATGTTTTAATCAATGCAATTGGAACTCGTCTGTTAATGTTGCTACTGGTGGCAGATGATAAAAAATCGAGCTCGTGATAAAACATTTAGGAATCCAACAACGATTGTTTATATTAAAAAAAATACGTTACCACACACTACGATTTTCTCCTAAGTCGTAGGTGCGTTTACAAACATACAGATTCTCATACACATGACAGCCAAATCTAAAACCACAATTTGTAGATCATACAAAGTGTTGTTCCGTGCGGGAATCCTACCCGCGACACGTTGCATGGTAGCCGGTTGCCCAGCCTCCGCACCAACCGTTCACTCTGCCATATTATTTTTCCTTACTTATTTATTTCCCGTGGGTACTGAGTATCGTAAGCGCCGACTAAAGAATTGTGTATGTATGTACATTTAACAGAGACCGAAGGTCCGTAAACGCGATTACCAAGCAAAGCATTTTGAGTTCTAATCGAGCGGGCGAGTCGTCCAACCGCGCTCTCTGATGAATTCGATCCTTTTAAACTATGATTTGCGAGCTGTCAAATGTGGAGATTATGGCAGACCTTCTTTTGTAGAACAGACCCATAGTCCGGCAGTGGACTCTTGTGCTATTGATGATGATGATGATGATGATGAAAATTGCCCAATTGTCCCCATCCCCAATCTCCCCAATTCCTGAAACCCTAATAGTCTTCAAATTCTTAATCCCTAAAAGGCCGGTAATGCACTTCTGGTGTTTCGAGTGTGCGGTGCCGATTGCTTCCCATCGGTGGTGATCCGTTTGCTCGTTTACCGGCTAATTCAATAAAAAAATTAATTAAATGTCTAAAATTTCAGGCAATTACTCAAGATAAGCAAGATCTCCGTAACATGTACGAGTGTCCAGTGTACAAGACTCGTACCAGAGGTCCAACTTACGTGTGGACCTTCAACTTGAAGACGAAGGACAAGCCAGCGAAATGGACTCTGGCTGGGGTCGCTTTGTTATTGCAAATTTAATTTTTTTTTGTGTTAGTAAAAAGACTACGTGAACACTTGTTATTATTTAACTTATGTAACTAATTTATGTAGCGTAGCATGGTAATAGATGCCATGCTACGCAAATATTTAGTTTTTTTGATAGCTTTTCTATATTATAATGCCTTGCCGTATAATGTTAGTCGAAAAATTGTAAACGCGATTACCAAGTAAAGCATTTTGAGTTCTAATCGAGCGGGCGAGTAAATATAGGCATTGTGAATTATGAAATTCGCACAATTTCAGAGTAGGTAAGTGAAGTATTCATGAGCATTAAGGATTACTTTCGTCCAACAAAAACATATATTGGTATTTTATGCTGAGGTTTATTTATTTAAATTGTAATTGTTCGTAAATTTTTGTTAATTAGTGATTAAGAAAAATAAAGTATTTAATTTTAAGATCTGTTTTTTTTATTCAAACACCTCTTTCTCAGTCATATATTAATTAATATGTGCGTAAGTATCTAAGGACCATGCTATGTGGCAATCTATGGTGTATACACGTAAACGCTATATGTATAGTGGTCATATATAGTGTAGGTATAGTGCGTTTAGGCGCTTTTGCCATAAATATTATTGGAAGCAAGTATAACTGCTCACACATAGGACTCAATTAGTTGTTAGTCAAATTCCCGTGGTGCTTGGCGACAGGGCTTCACCCAGTTGTACAGACTCTTTTTTGTGCCTTTAGGCTTAATTTATTCTGTCTCCTGCAGTAATTCACCGAGGGAAGTGGAAACTACCGTTTTTTTTCTTACATACATACATAGCATCACGCCTTTTATCCCCGAAAGGGTAGGCAGAGGTGCACATTACGGCACTTAATGCCTCTGTAATGTAACACCCACTTTTCACTGTTTATGTTATGAGTCCCATGTAATAGGGGGTGAGCCTATTGCCATATACCGGGCACAGTTCCAGACTCCAGTTTTTTTTTTCTTATCTTATAATATCTTCTGATTCACTTTGTTGCGGAATCAAGACAGTTACTCATGTCCCTGAGACGCGCCGGACTTCAGTGTTCCGGTGTTTTCATGGTTGTATCTACTGTAGATCCTGGCTTACAGGAGTTGCAGCGGTTTTGGGAGGTTGTGGCGGGCTTGTCTATAAAAAAAAGGTATAGTGGTCACTTATTACCTAGGTAATAGGTATATCTTTAATGAACTTATGACTAACACGGAAATGAAATCTTAGCCTAACTCGGCTGACCTTTTTGCAATAATCTCACGCCTATTAAATTAAAGCTTATTGTAAAAAATACCGTTTTTTATTATTAAAGCAGATGAGTCATCATTCGCTGGTTCCTAAGGTTCAGTTTATAATGTTGCGGAACGATATTAGAAGTAACAAGCAGATAAGTGTGGGAGAGCCATGCTTCGGCACAAATGGGCCGGCTCGACTAGAGTGATACTACGGCCTCACAGAAAACCGACGTGAATCAACGCTTGCGTTGTGTTTCGTCGTGTGAGTGAAGTTGCCGGAGGCCCAATTACCCCTCTCCCCCCTTCCTCATTCGCTTAATTTTCAAGAATCCGAATCCCAAAAGGCCGATAACGTACTTGTAACGCCTCGGGTGTTCCGGGTGTCCAAGGGCAACGCCGATTGTATACCATCAGGAGCAAACGGAGTAAATGATCATTTACCGGCTTACCCCATAAAAAATAATCAATACTTTATTGTAAACTATTTACTACAAATGTGCGTGCGTTTCATTCAGGAAACTTTTGCACCGGCTTACATAGGCACCTACTAGAAAAAATCTTTATAGTCCAGTCGTTTACCTCTGCTGTTTTCCGATCAAATGATTAGACGATAAACTGTTTATAAATTTTGTATTCATAATTCAGAAATGATCCAGAAAAAATTGAAACTAACTTTAAAAATTAAATTAATTAATGAAAATTATATTGCTAATATTTAACTTGGCTATAATTCCCTGCCAATGTAAATTGAGCCTTACATACCGGCGACGACAAACTTGACTTTGGCTAGCGAACTTCTGACCTTCATTAGTAAACGTCATATCAATATTAACCACAAAGAACTAACTTTCACTGATTATATCATTAATTTATGAATATATTTCTCTCATAGCTTTCTCACTGGTTTCGATCATTTGTTTCTCTTTGTGATGTAGACCGTATTGATTTGAGAACAAAAGAAAAGAAATTGTTTTGTCTTTGATTATCGAATTGCGAATAAAAAATTGAGGTTGGTCTTCATACTTGTACGTATGGAAGTCATTAAAGTATGGAATTTTTAAAATAGGTGAGGCTTTAAAATCAGTCTTGCAGTCTTGTAGTCGTTAACGTTTTAAAGTTGACAAGACCGCTATTGTGTTTAATTTTTATAACCTACTAAAATAATTATAGTATTACAAACATAGCATTATTCTCTTAATTTTGAAGTAGTAAGCGAATGTAATGGCCCGTTTGATCAATAACGTCAATTCTGCTCTCTGAAGTTAGATATGGTAAGTCTACAGCTAAATAAATACTTAGATATACCAAATAATAAAAATATAAGCTCCTTGTTCCTGAAATTTTCCATCAAACTTAGCCGTAGTGTATCTGAACCGTGCGTAATTTAATTTTTAGCTTAACAGTGGCATTTGTTACTCTTTAACCAATGAGACTGACATATACAAATACTAGCATGGCCGCATATGTGAAGAATGTATCAAAAAACTTGTTGTTTTATACAAACGAACAAAAAGTGTGAAGCCATGATGACCTATGGCCCTGACCGACGGCATGACTAAATCAACGTCTTGATATCAATATGCATATTCGCAAAGTTATTCACTATTTAATATTTTGATGTCATCAGTTAATTTGATTGCTTTTTTAGTACTAACTGGTCTTAAACTGTCAAACACCAAGCGGTCACCGGTGACCGCAACCTATTGTTCTATAATTGTGTCTACAAAACTGTACTCGACGAGTTAAGTTCAATTTTAGGCTGGTTAGTGTTAGTGTCGCGCTGATCGCAAGCTGACCGTCGGCGCTGACAGGCAAGAAATATGAACTTCTAGAAACCGTGCGCGCTTATAGCTACGTGTCATTCAAAAACGCTACCTAGGAGTTCATACATCTCGGCTATCAGCGCTGACAGTCAGCGCGACACTAAAACTAGCCTTAGATCCCGAAAAGTAAATTAGTGTTTTATTTGTCTACCTTTACGCACATGCCTACTTTTTTGTAGAATCGGGTGCAAACCAGTAGACATACCTCTTAAACATTTTAGGCGGTAAAAAATAAAGCTTAGGTTTTAAAATTTATACAAATTAGAAACGTCACATTCACTATTCAGAGTAGATGATATGGATTCTTAAACAATAGAAGAAATGACATCATCGTCATCATCTGACTCTTAATTGGCCATAAAATGACTCTAGAGGTATAATTTAGGTGACATTTATCAAATGCTATATTTCATTGATGATCGAATCATCGAATCAAATCAATACCAGACCAGGATGTAATGTAATTTATCACATTGTAAAAAAGTAATGTTTTTAACAAAAGTATCAAGTTTGTAGAAACGTGGGTTGGTATTTAATATTATTATAAAAAGGTGTGGCCGTTCTTTCATAATCTATATTTTTTTTTCGTTAATGACATTTTTTTTGTTAAAATTTGACAGTTTTATTTCTATACATTCCAATTCTCTATTGATGTTTTGAAATTAGATTTGTAACTTTTCATTTGGTATTAATTTAACTGACCCTTTAAACTTTAGAAGGAAGTTAGGCAATTGCTTTGATGATCAAGTTTAAACTGTCTATAATTGTGTCTACAAAACCGGTACTCGACGAGTTAATGATATTGATTTTGATTATGCTATGACTATTTTGGTAATAATTACTCCAGTTTTTTTATATTTGATGGGCCGACGTTTGACCCGTATTTCGCCTGGTGGTGCGGTCTACGATGGAGTCGTACGTCGTCTCATAAGCAACCTATTCACTCGGGCTCATCAGGAAATACAGACTCTGGCAAAGAATTTCACTCCTTAGCAATACAAGGAAGAAATTCAAGTTATGATAAAACACAAAACCAAAATGTTTGTGCTACTAATCGATCCTATCTGAAGATTATAATTGATTGATTGCTGTCGTAGGTAGTTGTGTTAGGTACCTACTACAAAAACCGTAACTTATCAAAAAAGATTTATTATTATAAAATGTGCTCTCTAGGTTTAAACTACATTTTCCTTTTTAGATACAATTAGTTTAGTATTTGTTTGGTTATTTCTTCGGCGTGGGCGCAGACATTAGCATGCTACACACAGTTACTTAGTCGAGTGTTAGGATCCAAGCTAGTTCTCATGTAGGAGGCATTAAGTCGTTGTTCTTTAGCCTAAAACAAGATGAAAACGAAAGTTAATGAAATGAATTATTTACATATTCTAATATCGAATGTGGAGAGAATTTGTAAACGTTAATTTCTACGCTTTGGAATGTGTGTGGTTCGATGAAATCCGAATGGATGTGGTTTTATAATCTTATTGGATATTTTTTACTCTTTACTAACATAATTATTGCTATTGTATCTACATTTTTATTAAACCTAGAAGTGTCAATATTAAATCTTGTTGAACACATTCAAAGATAAAGGATTCATAACGATTGTTATCATTTTATTTTAAAGTCATGATTTAATCGACTGCCTCGTTGGCTGCCGGGCAAGGGGTCTCGGGTTCGATTCCCGGGTTGGGCAAAGTATTACTGAGTTTTATTTTAATTCTGAGTAGTAGCACGGAATCTGGAACCTGGAGCCCGGTGTATGGCAATAGGCTCATCCCCTATTACATGAGACTCATAACATAAATAGTGAAAATGGGTGTTACATTGTACAGTGGTATAATGTGCACCTCGGCCTACCCCTTCGAGAATAAAAGGCGTGATATTATGTTACGTCATGATGTAATCCAATTGCATAATATATTGTACTTTTTGTTAATCATTGAAATAAATAAGGCAGCCAAAGGAAGTCGAAATTGATCACTCCACCTACACAGAACTATAGAATATTTTTTTCTCAATCACGATATTGAAAATCATAAATCACACAAAATTATAATGAAACCTTATTATTGATTCATTAAATCATGTCTTATCTGATATTTTACTTGTAAAGTGCGAATATTAGTATGGACATTAATTTTCTTGTCAGGATATTTATAATTAATTACGTATTTTAAGTTTCCTTATGACGAATCAATTTTATCAACTTATAATAATTAAATTAACACGTAAAAAGGCTTGTAGCAAGTGCTACAAGCCTTTTATAACATATTAAAGTTAATATGTTAACAGAATTCAATGATTTTGGTATAGAGCGACTTAGGTACTTGATTTGTTACACTGTCAAACACCAAGCGGTCACCGGTGACCGCAACCTATTGTTCTATAATTGTGTCTATAATGACGGTACTCGACGAGTTAAGAACCTTTTATAAACCGACTTTAAAAAAAGGAGGTATTCAGTTTGACCAGGGTGTATGTATGTATGTTTGTGCGCGATTGTCTCGCGATTGGCTGAACCGATTTTGATGCGGATTTCAGAAAAGTGTTAGTTACACTTGTAGAAAGTGTTAGTATATTAATAATTAACCGACTTCATAAGAAGAGGGGGTGGAAGTTAGTTTCCATAAACGAAGTTTATAAAAGAATTATTTGCGAAGGTTAACTTCGAGTTTTATTTAGCGTCAAAAATAAAGAATGACATACTATTTTCTACCTAAGTGATTAAAAATCGAAAAGGTACACATACATTGTACCTACTAGAAAAATCAGGCAAAAATTAATAATAAGTACCTAAATCAATAAGTACGAATACTTAAAGATTGTATATTTAAACATCTTTCTGTGGTTTAATAAATGTTCCTAATGGGCATGTGTTGAATTTATAATGATTAATAGCACAATATTGGTTTTAAAAACCGGTAATTATTGTGTTAGGTTGATTAAGTAATTATACTGTGTGCCGGGGCACTTTCGCGGTTGCTCCCTAATTTGGGAAACCCTAATTCCTCCTGCCGGTGGTTGTATATGGGGATCGTGCGGTCGATGGCCCTTTACGGGGCACCAGTTTGGGCAGACGGTCTGACGGAACGCAACGTTGCTTTGCTGCGAGGTCCGCAGCGCGCGATGGCCGTCAGAGTAATAAGGGGGTACCGCACGATCTCTTTTGAAGCGGCCACCCTTCTAGCTGGATCTCCGCCCTGGGACCTAGAAGCAAAGGCTCTCGCGTCACTATATAGGTGGCGCGGGGAGTTGACTGCCCGGGGCGAGAGATACCCGCCACGAGTTCTTGAGGCACGACGCTTAGAACTACGTCGTGAAACAATGGCGGAGTGGAAGATGCGACTTGTGCAACCTAGCGCAGGGCATGCCGTAGTAGCGGCAGTAAGTCCAATTATGGAGGCGTGGATCGGCAGAGGGCATGGTGCCCTAAGCTTCCGGTTGACACAGGT